GTTTGGTTTTAGTTTTTTGCTTAGCTTTTTGTTTTTGGGTGCAATAACCGGAGACACACGGCGTTGTTTGGGCGCACCTGTTCAATGTTCAAAGACCTGCCCTGCCCTGACAAAAAGCCCACTCGCTTCCTCTCTCTCTCTCTCTCTCTCTCTCTTTCGCTTCTTTCCCTATTTAATGTTTTGATTCGTAATGCCCATTTAGGGCAATTCTCATTATATATATTTTTGATTCTCTTAACAAGTTACATGCAATTATTAATGCCATTTTCTAGCTCTATCCTCAGCTCATTTTTAGACTGGGGTTTGGCTTGGCGATTGAATTGGGTAGATTCGCTCTCCGTGTCGTGTGGGGTGCTCTTGTCTGCGTGGGCAACCGATACGCCAAAAACAACAATCACAACAACAACAATGACAATGACAACAACAACATTAACGGGAAGAGCCATCGGCTCGACGCCAACGCACATATTCCCTGTGGCCCGGCGGCTTATCGATTTTTGGTTTGACGTAGTTACGATTGTAGTTATTATTTCATTATATTGACATAGGGATATGTACACAAAAATGGTTTATTTTTACACTTTTTGTGAATATATGTGCGCCATACTTTATTGAATACATTTTAGTGCAAATAGCTCAAATTTAACTGTGCAAGGCGGAAGATCTCAGAAGATCGTGTTTCATTGTCCGATCAAGTATTGTCGCTTGTTTGAAACAGTTGTACAAACTAAGGTACATGTGAAGTTCTCTTTATGACCTCTTATGAAGTCCAAGAAAGCAGATAGTTTTTGATGTTATGCTTGTCGAATATTAAAGTAACTTTAGCCTTGGCAATATTTCTATCGAATAATTGTCCCTAATTGATATATATTATTGTTGTACAATAAAAATAATTCACTTAATTTTATTATACGGAAAAAGCCAACAAATATAATGCCTGCTGCAATGAACTGCAATTCATTTAGTAGTAACAAGTAAGAGGTTCTAGTCGGGAGCTCCCGACTAGGGGATACCCTGAACCCTCTTCTTCCAACACCAAATGCAAATAGATATACTCTTCTAGAAGCTACAATTCAAGTTTGGTGACTCTAGCTCTTATTATTTACCAAAATTGCCCTAAAAACAGAATTTCGATATAGATTTTTATCGATGACTTGGAAACGGGGCATGGGAAACAAGCTCGATCTGCGTAGGCACTAGGAGCACCTACATCTACATCTCTAGCTCTTATTCTGATATCCTTGCGTTCATACATACGGACAGATGGACAGACAGACAGACGGACGGACATGGCTAGATCGCCTCGGTGCTGATCAAGAATATATATACTTAATGGGGTCGGAGATGCTTCCTTCTGCCTGTTACAAACATTTACACTCTGCACAAATACAATATACCCTTTTTAGACATTTTCAATGGGTTCAGGTTATAAAAAGTACAGCCTACTCTTTCAAGTTTCATTAAATCATGGAACTAATTGCATTAACAATGTAGCCATCCTTTTACCTTAAGTTCTTGAATCTGTGCGCTCTTATCTGCCCAATTATGGCAGCACTTAAAAAGCGCAAATGTTTAGCGAATTGATAACAATTTATAGTTTCTAATGAAAGTTTTCAATTAAAGCTGATAAAAACTGATTGTGTGTCAAGTTATTTGTGATTCTCAAGCTTGACAGTTTGATCGCACGAATTAGGCCAAATTGGCTTTCTTTTTGTTTGTTCACACCATGCACACCCCTAATGTGGGTGACATTGTGACTGTCATAGTTTTTCTATTGCATTCGCAAATGTCATCGTTTGGCTTCCATTTTGGCTTGATTTTTTTCTTCTGGCCTAGCAACCGCACACACACACACAGACACACACACACACACACGCACACACAGACACAGACACACTGTCATAGACACGTTGAAAAAGGTCAAATGGTTTTTTGATTTGGTCGTCTGAGCAACAGCCAAACAAAATGCCAAGTGTCATGCTCAATGGAACTTGGGAACTGCTGCACTTGCTTGGCCAGCAGTTCTGACCCACTTGGCAAGCGCATTGGCTGAATCTGCGCTAGAATAACAAGTACACACGGCAAATTTCACCACAATTGGCACTAATAAAGATGACGACAACCTATTTGCCTGGCTCCTTGGAGGATTCGCTGGCATTTGGCTGGCGCGACATTAATTAACTTAATTACCTGTACGGCTTGGGGCGCTGGCTAGTTCCGTCCTAGACACGCCTCAATATGGCCACCAAAGGTGGCGTCATAACAACACCTGGTAATGAGGCAATGGAGCACTCATAACTCCAGGCATAACATTTCATGTGCGGCAGAGAGAAAGGCAGCCATGAATGTTGCCGCAACATGCCACGGCAACACGAATACAACAACAACAACAACAACAACAACAAAAAGGCCCGTACAAATATCGTTATTCAGATTTATGGCCCGACATGCGAATCCCCTCGAAAAGCGTCGATCAAGCTTAAAGTGTGACGGGGGGGGGGGGGGGGGGGGGGGGGGGGTGAGAGTAAGGCCCAACATACGTCTTGTGTTTTACCAAGTGAAAACAAGAAGAAACACAGCGCACCGAAGCATTAATACTCTCTCAGTTTGAAATAGCTTCATACATGCAAATGCATCTGGAAAAAATGCTATATATTTATTGTGTTTTGCCTTATTTTCTTAAAAATGAATTCTTAATTTATTTCATCAAAAATTTCTTATGCTATTTTTGAAAGTGCATGGCGCAAACTAGTTTTAACCTATTTATGAGAATTTTTCGTATGGTAAATTGTTAAAATTTTCAAACTGAAGTCTTTGTAATTAATAAACTTTCGCCCTTTCTAATAGTTCATTTTTAAATACTTTAAAAATCCCTAAAATTAAATTTGTTGAGATTCCTCCTTATATTCTTATTATAAAAACAAGTAAGAGGCTCTAGTCGGCAGTTCCCGACTAGGGTATACCCTGGACCCAACATCAAATGCAGCTCGTCTTTGTATGAAGTGCAAATTAGAATCGTTCGATAATCCACAATAACTGAAATCAGCAACCTTTAGTATCCGTATCATTGACTAGAGTCTTTAGTAGAACACACTGTACACTGCTCACTTATTGTCTTAATATTTTCTATAACTATGGGTTGCATATGACACCGTAGCTATCTTTAATTAAACAAAACACAACATGCTAGACAAAATTATAAAAACAATATTGCAATTACAGCTGACAACTGCAGTACAGACAGCTTGTATTTCCATATATCCATTGATTTCAGTTTCTATTGTTGAGAGTAAAACAATAAAACACGCATGACAAAATTCATGATAAAGTCATTGTAGCCAGCGTAAGGGTATTTATTCAAAACTTAAATTCAGACAGCTTTCAACAATGGCCAAGTGAAACGTGCCTGTGAAGAATAAAAATTATGATGAAAAATAAAAAAAAAAATCATAAACGAGCTTCAATCAGCGGCCAGTCGTGCGGTTGAGTGAAAGAGAGGCAACAACTTCTACTTACAGGCGATGCGTGTGTGTGAGTGAGAGGCAGATAGACACACGATGGGCTACACTCTGACATAACCCACGCTCACTGGTGGGTCGAGCGGGGCAGAGGGACGGCAGGGGGGCGGCTGACTCATTGAACGGTTATGCGCAAGGATGGCATAAATATTATAGGAGGGGCGCAGGGCAAAGCGGGAATTCAATTGGCAATGATCGCTTAATGACAACAATTTCAATAATTTGCACAGACTGTGACGCGGAATGTCGAATGTCGGGAATGTGGCATGTGGAATGTGGAGTGTGGCATGTGTGGCATGTGTGGAACCCGCCAGAGCCTAAATGAACTTGACAGTCGAACAGATTTCTGATTGGCTTTTACAACTATATAGCGTGACAGCTAGTTAAAAAATGCCCCTTCTCAACTATCCCAACTCATTGAGATCCATAAATGGCGGCAAAATGAAAGGTCCAAAGTAAATATCAGAAAGCTTTTCGACGATAATCCTTTGCGTGGATCAATCACAGATAATAATAACTTACTCTTATTTATTTAAAATTTGTATCTTTTTTATTAACTATAAAGAAAAAATGTTATTGAATGATTTTTTGAATTATTTAAAAAGGATGTATTAGAAAGGGCGAAAGTTTATTAACTTGGATAATTATTGCAAAATATTTGAAAGCCAGGATTTTAAAAAACTTAATGAGCGAAAATCCATTGATATTCAGAAATATTAACAATGAAAAACACAAGGCATAAATTAATTATTAATAAATTAAATATTGTTATTAATTTATATTCTGTTACTAATGCAAAACCAACTCACAACTTATGATTTTATGATTCGTTGGCCTAAGAGTTCAAAAGAGGTCAAGTTCTAACCACGCTTAAACTCTGTTTAGTTAGCCTAAGATGGTAACGGCTTTTCTTGGTTTTCATTTCTAATATGATTTGAGGCCCAGACCCTGTTAGTTGGTGCAACTTGGCGTCTCCTAAACTAAATGAGGACAACGACTCGGACGCATACGGACATGGGACACGCCCATTAATGTCCTAGGTGTGTCGTCTCAGGTAGCTGAGCCTCTTTCGGGGCCTCTTTGGCAGCCGGCATGGCGTCATCAAGAACTGTTGGCCTGACCCGGCTTCAAGTCTGCGTTGTCAGCATTTATGTTGTTGTTGTCGTTGTTAACGGTAAATCGGTCAACGTCGTGGGGTCATCGCTGGAATCTAGTGCAGAAAGTCAGCGAGGCAGCAAAGCGAGCAGTTGGATGGAAAATATGTGGTTGCAAACAATTTACGTAAATTAGCGCAATTACAGCTGGCATTCTGCTGAGTGTATGTGTGTGTGTGTGTGTGTGTATCCATCAGATACTTTCTAGTCCGAACAAAGCGGAGCCATTGAAACCGGTTTTGACTTTTAAAGCTTCTGATTTCTGTTTACTGCTTAGAGTTATTGTTGTTTTTGCTAGAAACGTCAGCAGCATTAATATATAGCTAATACAGTAGTCAGTGTTGTTGTTGTTGCAATAGAGAAACATTTCCCATAAGCACACATGAGACAGCAGCAAAGGGAATATTAACAAAATCCAGGCAAAAAATATGATGCGGAGCAAATATAAATATACAATATTGAGAATAAAGCATACAAAGCGACGACGCAATCGAATTACCGCCAATCTGTAAATTGAGAAAGCCGCAGCTAAACTAAAGTATTCCAAACTCTAATCCCTTCTCCCTCTCTCCTGTCTCTCTCACACACTTTCAGCATGGAAGTTCAGGCGGTAAACAATCTGCACAGCACTGCGGCCCTGCTGTCCTCACTGCAACAAGGCAGCAATCCCGCCAGCCCGAACTCGACGCCCAGGAAGACGGCAGCCAAGGCGGGCGGCGCCTCGGCCAAGAAGCCCACAACAGAAGTCGCCATCCTCGAGCAGTTGAGCAAGCAGCAGCAGCAGCAGCAGGAGCGAGAGCACAGTCGCGACTGCGTGAGTCCGGCGAGCTCCAACTCGGAGCTGGAGAAGGACTTCAATGAGTTGCGCGAATTGAACGGCTCGCTAACGGGCAGTGGCAGCGTTGGCAAATCAAATGGTTCGCTTAGCGGCAACTCATCCACCAATTCGGCGGCACCGGGCTCCAATGGAGTCGCGTCCACGACTCCGGCAACGAATGGCAGCGGCCAGCAGCCGGTAGGCGCCGCCAATGCCACCCATCCTAAGAAACGCATCTCGAGCAGCCGCACGCCCACACGCAAGGCGCATCGCATCAAATTCTATCGCAATGGTGATCGCTTCTATCCGGGCATCACCATACCCGTCTCCAATGAGCGCTATCGTTCCTTTGAGAGCCTCTACGAGGATCTGACGCGCCTGCTCGAGGAGAATGTCAAAATACCGGGTGCTGTGCGTGCCATCTACAATATGTCCGGCAAGAAAGTAAGTCAACTTTTCATATTTAATTATAAATTGCACTCAAATATTATAGAATATATATATCTTCAGCCCGTCCATCCTCAATATAATTCGGGCAAGATCAGTCCCTTCTATAGCTGCTCTTAGAATCTAATAGAACAATTTTGCTTGTGCTGAGATATCAGGCTCTCCGATCTTGGACATTAAATATCACACAGAAATGTTTCGCTATTTTGATCAACCCAAAATATGCGTATACACCTTTTTTTACCTCTTCGAACATCAGAGCTTCACACGAAACACAGTTTTTAGATGTGGTAATAGCAATCTTAAGACAATTTGAATCGATATAACTATTTCCATAGTACCGATAAATCTAGATTTGGAAACATGGGATCTTAAGCACAACAACCACAACTTGCCCCAAAGAAAGAATATTTTAATTTTTTAATGCCTTGCGCTTTGGTACACAAAAGCATTTTGGTGCCCGATTTAGGTCTTGAAAGTAACTATAGGGATTATAGGGATAATGAAGTGTGTGTACAGTGTATCTCTTAGTCTGGCACTCCCGGCCTTTAATATGAAAGCAATCTTTGATACTTACGTGTTTATTTTTTCAAACAGATCACCGCCCTGGACGAGCTAGAGGATGGCCAGAGCTACGTGTGTTCCTGCAATAACGAGAACTTCAAGAAAGTGGAGTATAATACCAGCTCACAGCCTTTGGCCAATTTGACGCTGGCGAACAACAGTCGGTCCACCAATCAGCGTCTGGCCAAGCTGCAGCGTCCCGTCTCGCCGCTAAAGAATGGAGCGTTGGTCAACAGCACAGGCAGCAACAATGCACCTGCGGCCAATGGAGGAGATAGTGCAGTGCATCCGCGAATCGTGACGCTGATAAGGAATGGTACGAAGCCACGCCGAATAATGCGACTGCTGTTGAACAAGCGGAACAGTCCCAGTTTCGAGCATGTTCTGACCGCCATAACGCAAGTGGTCCGCCTGGATACGGGCTATGTACGCAAGGTGTTCAGACTGTCTGGGGCATCCGTGACGCAACTGGCTGATTTCTTTGGGCCGGAGGATGTCTTCTTTGCCTATGGTACGGAGCGTGTAAACACCGCCGAGGATTTCAAATTGGAAGCAGATGAGCAGCGCGCCATCAATGCCATACGCAAGACACTGCGCACAGCGGGCACTACATGCAAGGGACCCAAGCCTAAGATGCCGGTTAAAAACAAAAAGGTTTATCCGGCCGAGACCGCACGAGCGCGAGAAGCCGGCGAATCTGTCACCTCAGAAGAGGACGACCAGGCGACACTACTTAGGAATACGGGCGTTGAGATTGGCGATCTGCCCGTCGCTATACGAGACAATTACACTCTGGGCAAAATGATTGGCGATGGCAACTTTGCCATTGTGCTAAAGATCAAGGATCGACAGACGGGCTTGCCATATGCCCTCAAGATCATTGACAAGAGCAAGTGCAAGGGCAAGGAGCACTACATAGATGCCGAAGTGCGTGTCATGAAAAAGCTGCAGCATCCCCATATAATATCGCTCATCATGGACGTCGATCAGGTGACAAACATGTACCTGGTGCTCGAGTATGTCAGTGGTAAGTGCAAAAAGCGAAGTCTTAAGTGAACCAGTCCACCAGGTCGCTTTTCTTCCATCTCTATTTCGCGCGGAATATCCTTAAATAATCGATTAATGTTATATTTTTTTAGGTGGCGATTTGTTCGATGCCATCACACAGGTCACACGCTTCTCGGAAAGCCAATCACGCATTATGATCCGACATTTAGGCTCGGCCATGTCTTATTTACATTCCATGAGCATTGTGCATAGGGATATCAAACCGGAAAATCTTCTGGTAAGCTTCGAGTGTGTAGGCAGACTCAAAAAATCTTGACAATTAATTTTTTCTGCTGCAGGTGGAACTGGACGCGTCTGGTAATGTTGTCCAACTAAAATTGGCCGACTTTGGACTGGCCTGTGAGGTAACCGAACCGCTCTATGCCGTGTGCGGCACTCCCACCTATGTGGCGCCCGAAATACTGTTGGAAGTGGGTTACGGCTTAAAGGTAAAAAACCCAGCATTTTTGTACAATGGAGAACTCTTATTAATCCGTTGCTTGTTCACAGATTGACGTTTGGGCTGCTGGCATCATATTGTACATACTGCTCTGCGGTTTTCCGCCTTTTGTTGCGCCTGATAACCAGCAGGAGCCGCTGTTTGATGCTATCATCTCGGGCGTTTATGAGTTTCCCGATCCCTACTGGTCGGACATTGGCGACGGTGTGCGCGATCTAATCGCCAATATGCTGCAGTCAGATCCGGATGTTCGTTTTACCAGCGAAGATATACTAGATCATTATTGGACAATGGACAATGAGAATAACGGCTGCGGTGGTGGCGATGGTGACTTTAGCAGATGAATCGTAGCCGTTTGGGGTGTTTAAGCAGCAGTTACGCCTCGAAAGACGACATCTAGTAGTTTTTGTATTATGTAATTTAGCGCTATTCTATAGGCCTTAATTTATTATTTATACAAATTAACACTTAAACTACGGCACACATTGTCGTTAAGAAAGAGCAACAACAAACGAACTAGAGGACATAGAACAACGTGAACGGAACAGAAAGACGTTGCAGACAGTTTTCAGAAATTCCAATTTCCAGACCGTTTACGGTTCGCTACTTTATATTCTTTCAACGCATATATATATTTTTTAAAGAAAGGTACATTTACATACATACATATATTTTATTGGTATTTTTAAAGTGTTTTTAATTAGTATTTTAATTGATTATAAATAATGAATAAATGCATGTTGTGTATATTTTCATAAATTGTTAATTATGTTTTCGGATGCTTTTGCTTTTGTTTTACATTTATGTATGTTTTGCTATCACTTGTAATGTAAACGAAATACGCGATAAAAACAAAAAAAAAACAATAATTAAGCGCATTTATACAAACACCAATAATATAACTTTAGAAATATATATATATATATACATATAAAACTAACGTGATAATTGTTTGGATTGTAATTGAACTTTAAAAGTGGCGCGGCTGTAGCTATCGATAGGCAGATGTATTCTGTATTAGAAATCCTCCTCGATACTTATCGACCATAGAGTTGCTTTTTTTCTTAGTCTAACCAGAAATGGAATATGTGAACGGCAAGACAGCTGTTGAATGCAAAATGCGGTCACTCTGGCTCGAAGATGTTTTGATAAGAACGCGAATTTACATGGAAAGACGTAAAAATGGCCGAGACTTTGCCAATTAACAGCGTAAGTGCGTTGCCAATAGTAAAACAATCATTTCGCAAGACCATTTAATTGTCTAGGACTCTGGCACCGACGAGGAGGAAGAGGTTGAACCAAAGTTCAAGTACCAGCGCATTGGAAATGATCTCAGGAATATACTCAACACAGACGTGGTTACCTGCAGTGCCGTCCATTCAAAGGTAATCTCTGACTAGATATTCAACTATTTAGTGTTTCAACTAGCACGTCTGGCAGTTTCTTATATTTGGCACATTTCGGGGGCGAGTCTATCTGCTGGATCACCAGGGCAACTCTGTGGACTCGAACCTGAGCAGCGGCGATCGCCACACACACTCGGTGGCCGTTAATCACATTGATGTGGATCCTAAGGGTGAATATGTTGCCACCTGCTCCGATGACGGACGCGTGAGTCACTGAAAGCGTGTTTCTAAATTATAGGGGCTTCAATACTATTTTTATTTGCAATAATTACAGGTCAATATTACGGGCTTGTTCAGCTGTGAGAATAATCAGAACCTTAGTCATGGCAAGTTCATAAAAGTCGTTGCCCTGGACCCTGAAGTTAAATCGGGAGTGCGACGATTTATAGTGGGTGAGTATAACCTTTTGTTTCTTTATAGTGTATTAATGTGTAGCAAACTCACCATACCATAAAGCACAGAAAATGGTCTCTTAACAGGCAAGTTCGATGTGCTAGGTCCCAATTTGTTTCAACTAAATGCCCTCCTTTGGTTACCGCCCTTTTAATACCCAGTAATAGGAAATGACACATTACATATGAACCAAATCGTATCAATATAGAGTTACTATATCGTATAGCTGTATAGCTGAAAGGATCGATCGAATAAGAAGTTTTTGCAGGGAACACTGTTTGGGTTGTGTAGATATGTTCACGTAGCAATTATCAACTTTACTGTTTCATATTGCTGCAAGGGTATTGAGTCTTCGGAGTGCCCTTTATTTTTTTCCTATCCGTCGACAATCAGTTCAACAGTTCGAAAATATATCTAAAATAAACCCACATTTCCGTCAATTCAACTACTACGAGACTCGTCACAGAAATTGCGCTTAAATAAATCACAATATCTGTAAGAGTATTTAATCCAAAGACAAATATCTTTTTTGTTTGCCTTAAATAACGTGAATGTTTTACTCGATTTCAGGTGACGACAAGCTTACGCTTTACGAACGCAACCTACTCAAGAAGCTGAAACCTTGCGAATTGTGCACAGTTGAGGGAAGTGTTCTGGCTATCTGCTGGCAGGGCAATCTGGTTGCTTGGGCCAGTCACTTGGGAGTGCGTGTGTATGATCTAAGCGAGAAGTGCTCCCTGGGCCTTATGAAATGGGAGGTGCCGGCACAGGCACGACTCGAAAACTTTCGCTGCCATCTACGCTGGTCCAATTCCAATACGCTGCTCATCGGCTGGGTGGACACAATACGCATTTGTGTAATTCGTAAGCGCAATGCCATCGAAGCGTCCTCCAGCAATTTGCCTGGCTTTGTCGTGGACCCAGGTGCGCGTTATTATGATGCTGCTTGCCATTATAGTAACATGTTTAAACTTATTTTGCAGTCTCAACATTTCAAACCACATTTTATGTTTGTGGACTGGCGCCGCTGGCAGCCAGCCAGCTGGTTGTCCTGGGCTATCGCAAGGATCGCAGTCCCAACTATAAAGCTCTACGGCCAGTGCTGTGCGTCATTGAATACAAAATGAACACATGCGAGGAGGTGTGCACAGACAGCCTGACCTTACGCGGCTTCGAGGAGTATACGGTCAACGATTATAGTCTGGGTTGCATCATGGAGGAGAATCGCTACTACATTGTGGCGCCCAAGGATATTGTGGTGGCCAGCCTCATTGAAACAGATGATCGCGTCGAATGGCTTATCAAACACAAGTATGTAAACCAACTCTTATGTAGGGCATTTTAATCTTATCTGACCAAGACGGCATTCGTTAGCTAATTTAACGCATATACAAATGTGAGAAGCATAACTTTTTGGGTATAGAATGATTATTCCTACAACCTGACCATGTTTAGACTGTAAAATCATAGAAGACACATTATGAACTTTTACCCTTTTTGCAAGATAAGCCCTGGGCGGAGGGTATCCATTTCCGGCTTAGTATTTCCATAAAAACAACGGGTAAACTCTGATAGGTCTATGATACTGCTGCCATAGGAGCAATTTATTGAATACTTGCCTAAGAATATCTTAATCACAATACTTAGCTTATATCTTTGGTTATGGCAACTGGGAATAGTCAGTTAGGTATTAACTACACTACAATGCTGTCACAGCACTTGTCCGCTGGCTTTGTCCAGTCATAATAGTAGGAGACAAATACACGCTGGCCAGGACTCTCGTGGGTGCACAGCTTGCCAGCGTAAATGTCATGCATGTGCTGCGGGTTGCGCTTGTGCAGCACCAGATGATAGGATCGACACTTGCTTGGCGTGTAGGCGGTATCGAAGCGTGCATCATGCCATCGATAGACATGACGCAGTGGCGCCAACCATGTGCCCAGAGAAGCGTCTTCAGACCCATAGCTTGACAGTAAATGAGAATTGTTGACCACATTCTCGCATAGCTTGCGGGAGAGCAAATAGCCGCCGCCCAGTGCATAGTTTATGTAATTTTTGCTTATATAATAATTAGACTCGCGCCAGTGACCTTTCGTCTTAATCGTAGCGCGTCCATTGAAATAGCCCCAGTAGAGCTCTGGCAGCGGCTCATGTTCATAGTTCGGTCTGTTTCTCAAAAGCTTCCGGTCATAGGAGACAAGTTCGTTGAGTAGATTGTCCAGCTTCACATAGGTGTCATCGTCCACTTTAAGCAGGTATGAGAATTCATAGTGCCGGGTCAACGCGTCCAGCGACTGCATTAGCTTCTCCGTCAGATTCATATAGTCATCGTGCAGGCGCGGTAGCAGCAGCAAATCGTGATGCTGGCTCTGTTCATGCTCCAATTCGGCGCGCAACGTCGCTCCCATTTGCTGTGTGCCAATGGCAAACAGATGCTTCAACTTGATGTTGCGATGCACACGTGGCTGCTCCAACTGTGGCAGCTGCTTCTGCCAATTTATGTAGTGCTGCAGTCGTTGGGCCTGCGATGCAACCGTTTCCATTTGCAAATGCCCGCCGGCAGTGCTGTAACTGGGCAGGTAGATATACTCCTCGGGATAGTATGGTTGCTTTAGTGGCTGCCCCAGACGGAGCCAGGTCTCGCGCATCCCTTCACGTTGCTCGGCGTTGCCCGGCGCACTAAACACAAGTATCGCTAGAAATAAATCTGGATGTGGGTCAAGTTTGGCCACACCACTTCTCGGTGCCGGGCATTTGTCTACTATGGTCAGAATACGTGTAATAAAACTACCAAAGAAGAACGCTACTATTGCCGTAAAAAGCGTAACCAGGTTATTTAAGCGACGCATTTCTCAAAAATTACGTTTATTGCGATATTGAAATAAATAAAAGTTCTGCTCAATTCGTCGCGAATTTAGCAAACAGCTGAGCGATACTTTTGTCGGGTTATCGATTTATCGATACCAACTTCAGGTATCGCGGTAGTGCACTGTGGACAATTTATGCCTATTTTTTGGCAAATAGGAACTTGAATAAATAGCAAATGAAACTCTATATTTTGCGAACGGGTACTTTACCACCAATATTTGTTTTTTTCGCAGCAAATTTGAAGAGGCCTTGGAGATATGCACACATGGAGGTTCATTACCAATGCTCTCGGTAGCCAGGTAAGGAATAGGCTTTCAGATACTTCTTCATATATTGATACAATTTCATTCTTTAAAGACTGTATATAAACCACCTGTTGACGTTGAAGCAATACGAAGAGGCGGCCAAGCTATGCCTGCGAGTGCTGGGCAACAACAAAGCCCTGTGGGAGGAGGAGGTCTTCAAGTTTGTCAAGTGCCAGCAGCTGCGCTGCGTGAGCGCCTATTTACCCACGTCGGATGATTGTAAACTGGATCCGCATGTCTATGAAATGGTGCTCTATGAGTTCCTCAAGTTTGATGTGCATGGTTTTCTAAATTTAATCAAAGAGTGGCCGCCAAAGCTCTACGATGGCTTGGCCGTGATAAACGCCATACATGATCATTTTCGCAAACAGAATGCAAATGAGCTGCTCGAGGCCTTGGCCCTCCTCTACTCCTACCAAAGCGACTATGAGAGCGCTTTGCGCATGTATTTGAAGTAAGCAAAAGCTTACATTGCCATTCTTAGAAATATATTTACTATAACTTTCCCTTTGGTTAGGTTGCAGAACAAGGATGTATTTCTGCTAATCCGACGCTTTGAGCTATATGATGTCATCTCCAAATTAATCATTCCACTCATTCAACTAGATCGCGAACGTGCCTTTAAAATATTATTAGATAAGGACAAAATAAAGCCCGAAGTGGTTGTACATCAATTGGAACAAAATCAGGAATACCTCTACTGGGTAAGTGGGTACAGACCCTTGCAATATATTCACAATTAAACCTTGATTTTATTTCAGTACCTGGATGAGCTGGACAAGATTGACAATCAGGGCACATTCCACCCAAAGTTAGTTGCCCTGTATGCCAAATATGATCGGCCAAAACTTTTGCCATTTCTACGCCGCTCCAATGATTATGGAATACAAAATGCACTGGCGATATGCAAACGTGAAGAGTTTTATCCAGAAATGGTATACTTGCTGGCCCGAATGGGCAGCATCGTGGAGGCACTCAACATAATCATGCATAAAGTAAGTGTGTATATAAGATTTCCACAAATTATTTCACTTACCGACTCCCAATTTCAGATAAAAGACATTGAGATGGCAATTGAATTCTGCAAGGAGCATAATGATGATGATCTGTGGAACATACTCATTGATGAGTCCATCAAACAGCCAGAAATAGTAACGAAAGTGCTGGATGGCATTGTGGGCAAGTTTCTGTTATTTATTTATCAGTTTTATTCGACGAATTTAATGCGATTCTTTTATAGATTATGTCAATCCCGTGTTGGTAGTTAGCAAAATTAAATTGGGTCAGACAATACCGAATCTCCATCAATCTGTTGTCAAAATGCTGTGGCACTACAATATTGAGGAAGAAGTGAACACAATTGCACATCAAATCCAATTGACCGATTATTTTGACACTCAGGCCGAGGTAGTGGCTATGCAACGTCGCGGCCGCCTTGTCTCCTATGACAAAGTGTGTCCAAAATGCAGTCGTTCAGTGATAATAAAGGACACCGTTCCTCCCAATGGCCTTACTATATTTAACTGTGGCCACATATACCATAACAACTGCGTGATCGACAATCATTGCGACGTGTGCCTGGATTGGGATAGTATATTGGACGAGGACGATTAATAGGCAATGACAAATAAACGACAATTAATGGAAGTCTGAAAGCGGTTTATTACCATGTATTGAGCGACATTCAGCAACATTTTGTATCATGTTCATGCAAAGTATACATTTGGTAGCTTTTTGTTTATTTTAATTTATTTATTGATTTATTAAAAATTAATTAATGTGCAGTCTACTGGGCTTCATCTTTTGTTAACTAAAAGGAAAAGATAACCCTGCATAATGCCTTGCAACAGTTTGCCAAAAACACAAAATCTTGCATGAGAAACTTCCTGAGGACACCAAAAAAGGAATAGTCCTGAATGAAATACATATTCTGTATTATTAAGGCTATCTAGATTGATCTACAAAAGGACGTCAAAATCGTCCTTCAAATGGCTGAGATATATTTTAGTCGATTTTACGTTTTAGATGCAAGCATTTAATGGGTTCAGTGTATACAGCAGCAACAAAAAAAATTGACTGGTGGTGAGAAGAAAATAACAAAGAGAGAACCGCCCCACCCACCCAGCAGGCGATCATCATCACCCAAATTTTTAAGTTTAAAGTGTTGGTATTTACCCCCCTCACACCCAGCCCACTCCCGATTGATTTAATTGTTTAGGTACATATGGCGAATAGAAACTATAACATAGTGCATATATAGCGCATGTTGTATTGGATGAAAGAGGATGGGAGTGTTGTGGGGACACATGTTTCGTTGAGTAGGAGAGCTAGGATAGGGGGAGGGAGGGAGAGGGACTGGATAGGCTAGGGAAAGAGAGTAAAGTGTAAATTGCGGCTGCTCTTACATGGCACCTGGATCGAGTGAGAAGAGAGAACATTAGAAAAAAACTCAGTTAATTTTATTCATAAATATTATATCAATATTTATTACAAACTTACTCTCCCATTTTGCAATTGTATATACTCACTACTTTAATTCCTTGGTTGGGATCCGTACCTAGGACTTACACGAGTGGGTTCAGGCCGAGCACCTACCTAGTCCACCACAAGAGCTCTTGGGCTAGGTCAGTTTAATGTAGTATTTACAGAACAATTTTTTTTAATTTTTTGGCTAAAAATTGGATGAATCGAACCTGGGATAATCCACGAAATAACGTACCTAGCTTCTTCCTACTGCACTAGCGGAGGTTATGACAATGCATAATACAGTCTTCTGCTTAATAGGCTCGCGATGCCTTCGCAACCTTTTCTTTAAAAACTGCCAGCGGCCAGACTCGAACCTAGGACTGCGTCGTCAGAGGCCTCTTCAATGTTGTCTTATGTGCAGGAGATGAATATTAAGAATAGGAAGCGATGCAGCATTATAATGTTTGAAAATGCTTTCTGCAAAATATAAGATCCCGTTTAGAGAAAAAATAAGTGTCGGCTTATAAATTTTCATTTGGTATTTAAAATGAAAATTTTACGACGATTTCTCGATTTGTCACACCTACACAAAATGGATCCTTTCCAAAAGCTAAACAGTGGCCATTGGCATACAATCTTAATTCTGGAGCACATATATATTTTCCAAGTTACAAGACGGACATTGCACAAAAGCAATATATACTTGAGAACGATTAAAAATATACATCAAATGTGCATACATTTATCTATTACACCATTGCAACGAGATAAGTAAATAAAAACGTGGTCTTGTTTAGAAACTTACAATTTATGCATGACATATTGGCAATTGTTTCTCATTACAATTGTTTGTTTATTTCTTTTTTACCCCCAATACACACTGCAAACGGTAGTCAAATGCCCTTAGGCCTCAGTCTCAGACTGAAGCTTAGCCACATAGGCAGCCTTGTGGGCGGCGATCTTGGTCTTGCGCTCCTCATTCGTGAGTTTCTTGGCGTTCCACCTCTTCTTGGCAGGAGCCGACTTCTTAGCAGCGGCCTTCTTCTGGGTTGGATCGTTGCGGATGGCCTGGTGGGCTTTCTTGTAGATGTCCTCAATCTACATATGGATAAATGAGAAAGATTAATCTAGGGAATAAGTTATTGAAAATGTATTTTTTTTATATCAAATGTGCAACCGCAAACAGAAGGTTTAACCCATAGAAGAGGGATGAACTACGAACACGGGTTTCTGGATTTTACTGTGGTCCACTTTTGGCACAGCCAGCGTTGTAGGATACGAAACGCAGCAGTAATTTTGTAAATGGACGTCTACTTTTTTTAAGATTAATCTAGGGAATTTTATGTATATTTGTTCTTTATAACATGTGCAACCACAAACAGAAGGTTTAACCCATAGAAGAGGGATGAACTACGAACACGGGTTTCTGGATTTTACTGTGGTCCACTTTTGGCACAGCCAGCGTTGTAGGATACAAAACGCAGCAGTAATTTTGTAAATGGACGTCTACTATTTGTAAGATATATCTAAGGATAAAGCAACTTAAGGTAAATTTGTTCTTTATAACAATGTGCAACCGCAAACAGAAGGTTCAACCCATATGAGGGATGAACTACGAACACGGGTTTCTGGATTTTACTGTGGTCCACTTTTGGCACAGCCAGCGTTGTAGGTTACAAAACGCAGCAGTAATTTTGTAAATGGACGTGTACTTGTTTTTTTAGTGCGTTTGAAAAATTGTACTCACGTTGTCAGCACGGATGCCCAACTTGATGTAACGACTGAACTGACGCTTGAAAGCCTCCTCATCCTCCTCCTCCAAGGTACGCATATAGTCGGCCACATGCTGACCAAAGATATGGGCACGGTGCACATCGGCGTTGAAGCTCTTGGTCTCGGCAGAGTAGCCTGGGAAACGTTTCACCGAGTGGGGGATGTTCAGACCACCATCGACAGCACCCTTCATGGCGCCAAACACACGGGCACCAGTGGTGGTGCGTGCCAAGCCCACATCCAAGTAGCAACGGAATGCTCCTGGTCCCTCATCGACGGGCTCAACGTTGAATTCCTCACCGGTAACCTCGGTGCAGCCAGCGTACAACGAATCCAAACCCAACTTGTTGAGCAGACGACGTGCAACGAGAAGACCCGTGCAGTAGGCGGCGGCGTAGTTGGTCAAACCCACCTGTAATTATTGTTGTAAACATAAGTTTACATTTTTTATTTTATTATAATTTCAATAGACTTACCTGGATGCCATAGTTGGGTAGCTCATGCGAGTAGGCAGAGCAGACAACACGATCGCCCTCAATGCGAGCGTAAGCGATTTGAGCGGTGATGTCCTTGTTGGACAGACGCACAATCAAACGGTACTTGGGCGTGTTGTACTTATTCTTGTCCTGGAAAGTCAAACGCTTTCTGGCATAGTAATCAGTTTTGCCCTCACGGCGCCTACGGAATTTAACCTGGTAGCGCTTGAAGTACTGCTTGTTCTTGACTACCTTGACGAAACCCTGTTAAAAACGAAAAACACAAATTAATATTGATCATAGCTTTTGGCATGAACAGCACAATGCTAATCGCTCAATTAACATTGCATCAGTCACTACTTCTGTGTACATTTATAAAGGTTCACTAGCAAACACATTAATTGAGACGTTTGTTGTATTATTTAATTGATTGTGCTCACCATTTTTCACTTTTTAATGAAAATCAAACACCGACGTAAAATACGCGATGTCTTCACACGTAGGTGAAAAAGAAAAAGGAAGAAGCTGACAGGCCGCTCAGAAGCAGGGTCGTATTTTGCATCGTTGACATTTCGGGCGCAGCTAACTTAGCGTGGGATTTGAAAATGCGCCAGATGGCGCCACTGTGTAAATTTAATATACGCGCGAAAATGATCGTAATTTAAAAGACTAGAATATTTAAAAAACAGTATTACGTAGTGTATTATATTTAAGTAACAACGATTCTAAATGTATTTCGGGATTAGCTTCAAACTCCTTATCAGCATATTGACTGCCATAAAATCGTTCAATTTCTTGCTGAAGCTTCTGTAAATACACAAATTTTAAAGAATGTTTTCAATTGTCCAAATAATATTTACCATTACTTTTAGCCGAGCAGCTTCATCTGGCGCTGTGTGATCATATTCAGGATCCACATTTAAAAATAAATGTTGCTTAAAATGATATAGTGCAGTAACATCTTCACTTTGTAGAGTTAAAACTGTTTTGTTATCCTTCACGCTGCCTGCAATGCTCAGCTTACTGTCAATAAAGTACAAATCTAGCTCATTTTCAATCCTCGCACTTGCATTGCAAATTTCAGCGATTTGCTCTAAATTAAGGCTACCAGGCGCTGTTATTTTCTGTTTCATTTTCGGTTTTATTTTCGTTGCGCTTGGTTTGGCAAGCATGTCTGGCAATTGCTGTTTGTTATACAGATTTAGGGAGTAAAGTTGTCCACTGAATAGCGCCCGATATGTATTGCTGTGCTCCTTCAACTTCAATGGCAGTAAGATGGCACTGATTTGTGCATGCAGCTCCAGAAACGCCACGAGTTTAACCTCAAACTTAGGCAAACGCTCCTGGAACGCTTTATTAAGCGGTATTATAATTCTACAATTGCGGCTCAACAGCAACTCCGTGGGCACACGGTGGACGTGGGCATCATGGCCATGGTAAACGAGCAATTGCCAGTGGCTACTGTGAAGCAGTTTTTGACTACTGCGGAATGTCAATTGCAATATGGCATATATGTTATTGCTATCAAGTTGCGTCACTCGGGATGTATACAACAGCAGTGACTCAGCTCCAAAGACAGGCACTTGTCTACGAAACTCCAACGTTGCCTCCAAACTACTCTCGAAGCTAGTTTCATTGCGTGCAACGGCCACAAGCTGTTGTTTTTCGTGCTCACGCTGTATGGCTGCCAGAAGCTCAGCTGGCTGCCGCTCGTATTGCTGCAGAACTTGTGCATTACAACGCAGTTGCTCCATGGCTGCCGGCGTTAGATCGCTTAGCGCGCTTACATCTTCATCTGCCACTTGCTCAACGCTAAATGCGATCCGATAGAAAATGTTATTGTCGCTAAGGCACACCAGCTGCTCAATGTGTTGCACCCAGGTGCAAGCTTGCATGCCGGGCACTGGCTTGACACAGCGTTGCACCTGGCAATCATCTAGCACGGCATCATATTGAAATCTCAAGCGCACTAACTGCTCCCCATCTGTATAATAGAAGTCGCCGTTCTCGCTGGTGACATCGAAGTCCAACCACTCGCTGCCGGTGTAGTACATTTGGCGCTGTTTTATGCCCAGTAATTGGGACATGTACCAAATGTCCACGCTGCCGCAGCTCAGGTAAACCAAGCATAGATTATGTGAGGGCAGCAAATGCATAAACTTAACAGATGTGGGATATATACATAGAAGCTCAATGTGGTATGCCTGCTCCGACTCCGCATCCGCATTCGCATCGTCAACTGCATCTTCATCCCGTGGCGTTAGCACAAATACGTGGCCCGCAATACTGAATATATGTATCTGCTTTGCCACTGCGCCAAAGAGGCACTGCATGAATTGCTCATGCTGTTTGGCAACAGTTATCGTTAGCAGTGTATAGGAATCGTTCTGCCAATCGCATTGGAATATATTCTGCTCATCGTAGGTTATGTCGTAGCAGTTCTGCAGGGTGGTCTCTCCCTTGCTCAGACTGGGTAAATCAACGTAGACCTGCAACAGCAACTGCTGCGTATCCTCGTCGTGGCGTATCACGCTGAATCCTTCATGAGTTCGCGCAAATGCACGCACACCCTTCAGCCAGGAGATTAGGTGCAGCGATTTGATGGAGCCAAAACAATGAACTCGTCCGTCCGACATTAGCAACAGGGTGTTGTACTCCAGCATGTGAATGCTACGCAGATGATTACCCTTGGGCAATGGAATGCGTACTTTCGTCATTTCCATTCTGTTTGTTTTCTTCGATCTCTTAAAGCGATAATTCAGCAGATAATACTCGTTCCATGTGACGAAAACAGTCTTTGTTTTGTTGTTGCTGGATGAAGAGTGACTTATTAGACCACACGGCTGAAACAGTGTATCATCGTCGATAGACCAGAGAGCATCATCGTCGTCTTCCACAATCCCAGGCTCATTAGGTTCGTCTATTTCCATCATTTTCCAAATACGAGCCACATATATTCAAATGCAATGAACTGATAATGCTATATAGCCAATGTGACCAAACTTCACAAAATAAAATGGCACAATCGTGACCACTCCTAAATTAAACTAAAATCCTCTTAAATAAATACTAAATACTGTACAATGCCTTATATTTACATTTTTAAGATACGCTGTCTGTGTGATTGCTCATCTCTAGTTGCACCGTCCACTTCGGTAGCGTAACGATAGAGACAATTTTAAAAGTAATTTACCTGGAGGTTTTCAACATAACACTTTTTGGCATCTAGTAAAAATGACTTTAATGATGCGCCTGTGTAGGCGTAGCTATGCGACAAAACTGAAAGATCACCAGGTGACAATGATGGCCCGTGGTTTGCCCAAGCGGGAATCGCTGCCTGGCGTCCAGAACATAATAGTGGTAGCCTCTGGCAAGGGCGGTGTGGGCAAAAGTACTGTGGCAGGTCAGCGGGTCATATCTTAGGGATAAAAAAAAGTTGAGACAAGAACCAAATTTATTGCAGCAAATTTCGCCTGCAGTTTGGCCAAGTTGGGAGTGCGTGTTGGGCTGTTGGATGGCGACATTTTTGGACCAAGCATACCATTGCTGATGAACGTGCACAGTGAGCCGCTGATCAATGAGAAGAATCTAATGTTACCGCCACAGAACTATAATGTCAAGTGCCTGTCGATGGGCATGCTAACGCCACCTGATGGTGCCATTATTTGGCGCGGTCCGCTGGTCATGTCAGCCGTGCAGCGTCTACTCAAGGGCGCCGAGTGGAGTCCATTGGATGTGCTGGTCATTGATACGCCGCCCGGCACTGGAGATGTGCATCTCTCACTGACACAGCTTGCACCAATCACAGGCGTCATATTAGTCAGCACCCCGCACAAAGCGGCAGTGGATGTGACAGTCCGTGGTGCTGAAATGTATCAAAAACTGAAGGTGCCTATCCTTGGCCTAGTTGAGAATATGCGCTACTCCATCTGTGACAATTGCAATCATCGCATCGAATTCTTCAAGAAACAAGCGGAAGCTCCACACAAGAGGCTGCCAAAGACTCTCATTTCGTTGCCTCTAGACTCACATATTGCAGATTGCGGCGAAACGGGCGTACCCGTTGTGATTAAAAATCCAGACTCTGAACATGCAAAGCTCTTTAGTCAGCTTGCGAGTCATATATGGAGTATATTGCAAGAGAATCAAAAAACAAATGAAGCAAAGAACGAGACGAAAAGTAATACTTAGCGAGTTCAATTAGACGCTAATTAATAATTTAGGCAAGCATGTTGCTGAAGAATCACAGTAATATTTTAAGTTTTATCATTCTTGATGAATATAAGTGTGCCAAGTTTGCTGGCCTTTCCGTACTTTCACGTACTTAATGGGGTCAATAAAAATTGTAATTAAATCCTGATCTTAAGGAATCGTGTAACGAGAGGAAACATAACACGCGCTCAAATCGATATGAAAGTAGTTATATTTATTTATGTTTCTTCAGTTTCTTCATCTTTTTTAAGGCTTTTCGATGTGCGTATTTCTCCGTACGCTTTATCACCTCTTTGTACTTCCGTTTGTTAAACTTTTGAAACGCCTCGTCCTCAAGCAGTTCATCCACCAGTGACTTTTTGGTCTTGCGCGTATGCCGCTCGCTATAATGATCAAGTGGCGAGTGCTGGACTGTGCCGATTTGGAAGTACTTGGGCAGCACCTTAAGGTCGTTCTTCTTATAGAAATGCTTGGGATCCAGCACAGAACGCATTTGTATAATCTTTAGTTCATTGCGCATCTCATCAGTGACCTCTGTCGCAGGCAAATCAAACCAGCCGCTGCCCTTCGTCTTTGTTCGCTCCGCCTGTTCGTATAAAAATTTGTTTATGCATGGAAAGCTCAGATGTTATTTAAATATTTGGCATGGATGAGCACTCAGATTACTAAAGACGTCGTCAATGTGGCAACAAACCTGCCTCAGCTACTGCTGTGTGTTTTGGGCGACAATAGCACTGTTTCAATAAAAAAAGGATTGTACGCCCAAGCCTAAATCATTTGTCTTGACTTAATGACAAATAACAGTCTAGCATTAAATGGCATTGCTGTTCCGTTGGCCTTACAGCAACCGCTACATGCTCTGAGCTAGCCGCTAAGATTACAACGAACGAAACTGTGTGCTATTGTCTGTGAGTGAGTCTCTGGTTACACAGCAGTCGCCTCGAGCAGCAGGTGCGTGCGCTTGCCGCGCCCATTGGCGCAGCTTCGGTTGTCGAATATGTCATCACAGATGCTCAGCTTATGATCCACGCCAAAGGTGTTGAAAAACTTACTCTGTTCAGTATGGGCTGCTTGCGTCTGGAGACTGTGGGCAGGGCTTTCAGCTGCTCAATGCCGTTTAATTGTTTAGTTTTTTGCATATCCTTTTCCAAATTAGCTTTCCGTACATTCACATCTTCGCCAATCTCGTTGTCTATTTCTGTTGTGATGCGTTGACGTTTTTGCAGTTTGTGTGTACCCGCGTTGTGTGATGCCTCGTTAACCCTCTCAGCAACTTCATTCAGCTGTATCGCCACCCCGGATGGCACTCGTTTTGCCGTCTCCTGTGTGGCGGCGGCGGCAACTACTTTGCTAACATCCTTGCAGTTTATCTTGACGCCAAATAATTCCATTTCACCAGCTTCTTGCTCATCGTCTTCTTCGCTGTCCTCCTGTGGACGATTTTCAAAAATGCCATTGTACAATGGAGCGGAGTACTGTATATTGTCTGCACTAAACAATTGCTGGTCGCCATTTGTGTCCAACGTAAATAACGAAGCCATTCTATCTGGTTTTATAGCACGAAAAACAAAAACGTGCAGCTCATTCGGCGTTGACTTGTACAGCTGCCGGTTCGTTGTGAATGACACTATGGTAATAATCGCAAACATAAGCAAAATTTGGTCACACTGGATCTGCCACACGTGTTTTGATTTCAGCTGCAGACGTACGTTAGCAAAATAGTTTTGAAAATAAATAAAATAGCTAACTATAATGCCAGTTTCCATTAACACATTATTCGTAGAGTATTTTGGTTGCTGTTTCATTTATAAAACGTAGAAATACAGGTTAAACTCGGCAAATAAGCGCAGTTAACTATCTAGTTAATTTGGCCTTTGTCGAACGTGTAATTGCGTATTATTAGGAAATACTCTTTTAAATTTAGATACGGTAGTGTTTCGCGCAATGTCTGTCTACAGCAGCAAAACGACCAATACGTCCATATTGAAGTCCTTTTCCAGCGCAGATCGTGAGCGCGTCAAGACAGCGGCTCTTAACAAGGTGCGCTTTGTAACGCCCAAGGAAAAGGGCATCGTTGAATCGGTGCGTGTCGCTTTAGAGGAAAATAACTTCCATTTGATTCAGGAGTTCACATACTTTCTGTGCGAGGCTGATCTTAGTGTAAGTAAATAACATAATATATGCATATGCTTTTCTTATTTATGTTTTCATTTACAGGATGATGAGGTTGTTCAAATCATGAAGGATGCGCGCAAAATCGTGCACAGCCTGACACCGGAATTTGCCAATCTAGTTGAGGCACTACTCTCACTTAACTGGAAGAAGTACAGCTCGGACGCCATTCAGGCCTATACAGAATTCAGCGTCGATGTTATGATTGCCCACAATTCGTATATACATATTGGCATTGGCAAATTAATATTAAATTGGATACCTAATGATCAAGAATCGGCGGAATGGCTCAATGGTTGCCCCTCGGAACGTGTACGAGCTGAACTGGAAACTGTGCACAGTTTACTCAATCGCATTCTCACCGCTGTGCCCATGAGCTTTGATGTGGTCATCGATACGATCGCCTCTAAGTTTCCATACTTTAAAAAGCCAGCTCATGTCACAGCTGGCTATTTGCACAATGTACTGTGGCTCATGGAATACAAGCCGGTATTCGAAGAGTTGTTAGTGCAGCTGGTTCTGCAGAAGTAAGTTCTCATTTCAAATTATTCCATTGGCACGCAATTTACTCTTTTTTTTAAATCTTTAATAGGCTGCTGGTGCTGGACGTTAATGCACCACGAGATGAAATCGAAGCACTTAAGGAGGACACTGATGACGAAGATGATAAAATGGAAGAGCAAGCAATTTTTCAAATGGATGATCTAAACGCACCGCCCAAACCGCCACAATCTCTAGAACATCCAATAGGCCAAATGCTGGACATATGCCTACTGAAGCTTTTCAAATTCCTGGATGATAAATGCCGTCCGAGGCCCGATTGCACCGATGATCAGCGTATAGCCAAAAGTCGCTTCTTTAAGACGCTAGTCCACATATTCGAAGAGGTGTTGCTGCCCAGCCATAACACTCACCACGTTCAGTTCGTCATCTTTTATGCGTGCAGCATTCGCCCAGCATATACAGAGATCTTTCTCAGCACTCTGTGGCATAAGGTGCAGAATCCCAATGTTTCCTCGATCATTCGCCACGCAGCTGTTAGCTACATAGCCAGTTTTTTGGCACGTGCCAAATTTGTGCCTCTGAGGTAAGTTTGCTTTAGATTTAGTTGTGAGAACCAAATTAAAGTTTTTAATTAATTCCAGCACAATCACCTACTATCTTAAGGAGTTGAGCAATTGGGCAAACAACTACATAAATGACTCCGATGAGTTTAGCAGCAAAAACTGTTCGCTCAAAGCGAACATGGTTTTCTTCTCTGTTTGCCAGGCCATCTTTTATTTAATCGCGTTTCGCGCGCGTGATTTGACAATCAATCAAAAGAGTATGCAATTGTAAAAGCAAGCGCTTCCTGCGATTTTACTTATCTTTATTTATCTTGCTTCCTAGATTTGGCTTTGCTGAATACCCTGCAGCTGTCACGGCTGGCCATGTGCCATTTTAATCCGTTACGCTACTGCCTTCCACCGGTGGCCACGGCATTTGCGGGCGTCACACGTACCCACCAATTGGCGTATTGTCACACTGTGCTGGAGCGCAATGCACGTCGCAAGCTGGCCACCATCTATGGCCATGACAAGCTGATGCCGGAGGAAACACTCGAAACTTTCTTCCCTTTTGATCCATACATTCTACCACTGTAAGTCTTAAAAACAGTTACTATATGGGATCGGCTTTAATTCTGATTAATCTTTGCAGTTCAAACAAATTTATAGAGCCGAGTTATCTAGTCTATAAGGTGCATGAACTGGAGGAGACAGCGGATTGTGTAATAGCAGAGACTATACGTCGCAAGCGTGGCGATTCGGAAATGATTGAAGAGGATGACTTCATACTGGCAGATAAGCGGCAGAAGCTAAGCGATCTGTCCAAGAGTCAGCAATTTGACAAACAGTTTTACTATGGAGCTTCGCCTGGGTTTAACCAATAAAATGTGGGGACGTAGATGTAATAGTAATTGATATTTATGAAATATAGACTTATATTACTGAAGCTCATAAGATAAGTGCATTGGCGGAGGCATTCTTGTGCCGCTCGGCGCGCATATGGTCAAGTCTGTGGCCCGAGGTTCGAAACGTTTCACTGCAAATTTCACATTTAAAGGGTCGTTCGCCGGTGTGCAAACGCAGATGCAACTGCAGCGACGTTTTGGAGGCATAGCACTTGCCGCACACCTGGCAATTGACTGTGCCACGCTGAGGCTGGTGCGTCTTCAGATGCCTGACCAAAGTGGAATTTAGAGTAAAGTGTTTTTGGCACACTTGACAAACGTGTAACTTGAGCTTTGAGTGTGTTAGCAGATGACGCGCCAAATCGTTGGGTTTCTTAAAGTTTTTGCCACATTGCAGGCAACTATGTTTCAGTTGCTTCGTGTCCAGTAAACGCCTCAAATGTAACAGCATGTGGGTGCGACAATTGAACTTGCGTTTGAATTGCTTTTCACAGTAAACGCACTTGTAGCTGCGCTGTGTCATAACTGGCTGCGGCACCAGCTGTATGAGTTTAGCCACCTGTGCATCGGCTTCATGTTTCTCGTGTGCATCACGGGCAGATTTCGATTGGAAGGTTCGCTTACACTGAGCGCAACTGTAAACCAAATCCGGGTGTGCTTGAGCCAGGTGTTTGTGCAACAGATTTTTGGAGCCGTAACTGGTGGTGCACTCGCTGCAGGCGTGCCTTTTCAGTGTAGCATGCAAGCGCTTGTAATGCTCATTTAGCTTGGTCTGGGTGGCAAAACGCTTCAGACAGCGGCTGCATTGGTATGGCGTCTCTTTGGTGTGCGAACGACGATGCCTGGCGAGCAGCAAGTATTTGTTGCTTATGTCTAAAACACAGACACTTCTTAATTACTAAACTTACCTTATGAGCTCATAGCTTTTACTGAACTCCTTGGCACAATATTCACATACATAGTAGCACCTACTCGGCTTCTGTCGCAGTATGCGCTGCGTGGTCAGCATGTGCACGACACCATTTGGGTTAAGCCTATCTCTGAGCTGTACCACATCGCAATCTGCTTTCTCCTCAAGCGTAGCTTGAACATCTGCTTGCTCCTGCGGAGCGCCTGGTATATCTTGGCCTTTAGTTATATTGTCTGTTGTGTGACTGGTTTGCAGCAGTCTTAAAGCAGCCAGCGCAAGTTGCGCCACCTCGGAATCATCGCTTCCCTTTGCAGCATCGTGTTTATTGCGTATGTGACGCTGCAGTGAGCTTTTTTGTGAGAACCGACTGGAGCAGCTATCGCACTGCAAATATTTATTACACACATTTAAAAATCAAGCTGGGCTTCCAAGCACATGGCAAGACTTACTGGAAATGCTTTCTCTGTGCTGTGCACAACCAGATGGCGACGCAGTAGTGCTGGTTTGGAGAAGCACTTGCCGCAAGTGTTACAACTGTTGACAATTTTAACTTTTGCAAAATTTTCCATTTTTCATTTCACACTTTTTTTCCGATAAACATGTGCGTCTCAATAACTGGCAAGAAGAAGCACAGCGATCACAGCTGTTCTCTTTGCTGCTTCACCCGGTTCGCCGATTTCTTCAGTCAAATTCACCCCGATTGTACAAAAAACACAGCCAAATGATTGTTTACAGCAATCATATAGAAAATCAATTCTATTTGAAACTTAGTTTAGAATCGACCAATCTACACAGTTACAAATCGTAAACAAACTCATCTTTCCTCTTTAAGCTTAGGCAACGAATTCATATGGAATTGGCGCCAGGGCGATGGGCTCTTCCAATTTCTTGACGAAATGCGCCTTCTTTGGCTGCTCGGGCTGACGTTTTAGGGTAACCCATTTACCCTTCTCCTTGGCATCCTTGAGCAGACGTTCGTTCTCCTTAACACGGCGCAGGAAATCCTCACGGCACTTGGAGTGATGCACATGCTCGATGCGCACGTTGATGCGCTTGGCTAGAACCTTGCCGCGCACACGTTTGTTTACAATGACACCAACGGCATGTTGTGTGACATTGAAGATGCGGCCAGTTTTGCCGTGGTATGCCTTGTAGGGCATACCCTTCTGCACAGCACCGTGTCCCTTGATGTCAACAATGTCGCCGTTCTTGAATACGCGCATGTATGTGGACAGGGGAATGACACCATGCTTACGGAATGGGCGAGAGAACATGTCCCTGGTGCCGCGACGATAACCCTTTGAGTTGGTCATTTTGTTGGCTGTGGTTCCCTGCAAAAAACAAACACATTTAGCAAAATCTCAACCAACGTACATGTGCAGGCCAAACGTTACCACATTTTGACGCGCGTTTCAACTGCATTCGACTGCATTTTAATGCAATTTGTTCAAAATATTCGCTTACCTTTTACGTATTGACGTCCACGCGGTCGTGAAGTTGGGGAAAGAAAGAAAGATGGCTACCCGCTTGGCGTTGCCACACTCATTATGATTTGACGTTTTATCAGGGCTGCTTATGATTTGCCGTTGTTTGCGTAACCCTGGAGCAGAGTTGCTATTTCGATAGAAAGCGCGGTTCTCTGAATTGCGATAATTTGAATTGAACGTCGTTTAAGTATTTCATTTTATTAAGTTAAAAAAGTTTTACAAATTCAACAGAAAACTAATTAATATTACATTTTTGCTTAAGTTTGAGCACTTTGGTACACACACACATAATAGTAAATGTCATTTTAATATCTCGTTACATATAATTTATATTTTAACTATCATATATAAATGTGTTACATATGCATATATGTTTATATAACTTGTCCGTTTTTGTTCTCTAGTTTTAATTTCTTCACAAAAAGTCTAAGAATGTGTTGTCATTTTTTTTTGCAATTATTACATGATTGGAATATCAAAGCACAAAACTATTAAGTTATATGCGCGCTGCTTTGTCAAATATATAGTAGGTTATATATGTATATGTATATTTAGCTTATGCTTATGCATGTGGTACGTATATATAATAAATATTGTAAATAATTTCATAAATATATTTATATATATGTAACCCATATAAGCTTATACCAATATATATATATAAACAGCACAAACACTTTGACTTGCATACATCGATGTAAACATAAAATTTAACATTAAGTGTTGCCATTACATATATTAATTAATAATTTAGTTTAATAGGTTATACTTGTTTCGTTTCGTTTGGTTGGTTGATTGGTTTTTTTTTTTTGTTTTTTTTTCTTTTTTCTTAATTATTTTCTTTTGCGTTATTATATTATATATTGGCTGTTGTTTTTGGATTTCATAAATCCCACTACAATAGCAGTCTCTCCAACAAGTCCACAGCTTCTTAATGCAATGGTCATGCTACACACTCGATTCGTTGTCCATTATCCGGTGCTATTTTCAGACTAAGCGGCCTCCTTTTTGTTGTGCCCGTTTTCCAGCGGACTGCTGGGTAAACTGGTGCAGTTGCAATTGTTATCGTCATTGGGCAGTGACGCCTGATGTTGCTGCAGCTTCTGCTCCAGGCGTGTTTTGTACGTGTACAATGACTGCAGCGGCACATGAAGTAGCTCCACAATCTGCGTAAAGTTTAGCTCTAAAAGATGTTCAATTCAATGATGCCAAGCTTTTGATACAATACTGAAAAACCCAAACGTACCTTTCTCAGCTGTAATGTGGCCGTGTCGAATCAAGAAATCGATAACAACTGGCGCCGATGTCGTCTTGAAATCTGGCGTAAATACGCGCTCCACACACTCTTTGGCTGGCAGCAGCTCGAAAGCCTGCACCTCGCCATCCGCATTATGAGGCACAAAGTCCACCGGCAGCTCCAAATCAAATACATATTCAGTATTGGGAAACAGGCCTTGATCGCTCTCAAAAAAGAACGAGACACAGCCCGCTGAAACCAAATTTTTGACGAGATCTTTTGGAATGGATGCTTCCTCGGCGGCCTCCTTGATGGCCGTCTCCATTATGCCATATCCAACGGAAAGACCACCACCCACCATATTATCCCATTTGCCAGGCCAGGTTTCTTTAGTGTTCGATCGCTGCTGCAGCCAAATGCACAGACCGTGCTGTGGATGCCTCACATAACCATTGATGTCCACACCATATTTGCGGACCCCGAACAGCGGTGTCGCCGCTCGCTCCATCTTCAGCAGGGCCTTGTGCTCGGACTTGACCTCAAAGCACTCGTCCCGCCAGCCCTGCAAGGCTGAGAACAAACCATCGCCGCGCAGTTCGCGTAATACCTTCTCCAGTTGTGCCGTGCGCTCGTTGTAGTCTCGGAATGCCGGATTTAACTCGACGAGACCCTGTCAAAATATTAACAATACGGTTAAACATGATCACATTGTGGCTATTTGTGCTATTACTCACCTGCTTGGTATATTCACAGTCACGTATACAAAACACTTCGGGGTACTTGTGCAGCTGCTTGAGGACATCCGATTTAATGAGCCCAACTTGTTGTCCCTCAACCAGAAATGGACGTATGTCGCCTTTATGAAAACCTGTGACACAATTAACGTTAATTAGCTTGAAAGCAATTTGTAATTGATATATTCCTGACGCAGCCAACAGCGTAATTGTATTGTGGCCAACAACAAAGACCGGAATATCTGTTTGTAGGCTTTCTATGTAGCTTGCATATAACTATTGTTTACTTCGAAACTTCCTATTCCTTATATTCCTTCCTTAAATTTATTTCTTGTTTGAATAACTATATGACAAATACCAAACTTTCTTTGCAATGCAGATTCATACAAATCTAGGAGATACAAAAAGGTGTGTGACACAAAAGTATCTTAAGCATACAAAACGAGTCTGTAAGATACAAGTTATATACTTATTGATAGATATATAGGATCCAAAGTATATTTTCATTATGAAAACATTTGAATCTTACATAAATAAATAAAGTAGTAGATGATGTGGTTAACTAATCTTTCCGATTATTATTGACTCACATTGTTAAAAGTATTACTGGCACAGAATATATGATCTAAAGGTGGAACACAACAAAGGGAACCACATTTAATTCTGATAAGTTTTTATAATTTATAGCAATTATAAGAATAAATATTTATATATGGGCACCTATAGAATTTGATTCAAAGATGTTGATGTGTAGGCCTAGGTCAAACCGTAGAAGTTCAACTTTTTTTTGTACTAGTCCGAACTGAAACTTTCTTATCGCGCTTAGACATTGATATTTTTATTACTATATAATTATGATAAGCATGCTTTTAATGCTTAATACTTATTTCCGGTTGAAATTTGTTCAAGCTTCAATTGCTTTGTGGCGTGCAAAATATTTAAGTTTATTCTGAGCTCAGGGTGCACACACACTCTGATTAGATATGTTCCATATAGCTAATAAGAATATTAGGCAGTTAATTAGCCTTAAGTACCTTTGCTTAAACCAAATACAAGCAGTTAATATTGCAAGCACTTTTTGCTGTATATTACGATTTTGCAAAAAAACGTGAAATAATCATGGCTTATTTCTTTTTAACAGGCAGAAGGAAGCATCTCCGACCCCATAAAGTATATATATTCTTGATCAGCACCAATAGCCGAGTCGATCTAGCCATGTCCGTCTGTCTGTCCGTCCGTCCCTCCGTATGTATGAACGCAAGGATCTCAGAACCTATAAGAGCTTTAAATGTAGATGCTCCTAGTTCCCGCGCAGATCGAGTTTGTTTCCGATAATCGATAACTTACTCCGTTTCCAAGCAATCGATAAAAATCGATATCGATATCCTCTTTTTGGGGCAATTTCGGTAAATAATAAGAGCTATAGTCACCAAACTTGACATATAGCTTCTAAAATAGAATATATATATGCATTTGATGTTGGAAGAGGGTTGAGAGTATCCCCTAGTCGGGAGCTTCCGATTAGAACCTCTTGCTTGTTTCAGATAGGAATAGTTGATTAACGACCTGCAAGTTTTCTGTCTTGTTAACTATGTATTCAATAAAAGGAGACTTTATATCTGTTCACGTTCTGCATCAGAATTTATCTAACTCTAGTTCGCCAGCAGTCATCATAATAGAACCAATTCTGACAACATTTGATCAAAACATGCTTTGAAAATAATATTTAAGCCGGTTGGCAAGATCGTCGCTGAATTTTAAATTGGCAAAGTCAATTATTGCGTCACTATTCAAACGAGCAAAACATAAACATGGAATACCAATTCGGCTCTTGATTCAAAGATAAACAACTTGCAAAACGAAAAGTATTTAAAGCAAAACAAAAACAATTGATACCCTAGATTTTATGAATATGAGATGAAAATATAAGAATCTGGCAAGCAAAAATGTTGAGATCTACACTTATTGCAATACTATGACAATCAGATGCCAATTAGGTAAACGATTCTCGTTACGTAGAATAGCTACGTATTAAATTTGTAGGTATGCAGCAGCACATATACCCACTTTTTACAGGGTATAACAAAATAAATTGCCCAACAAATTGAATTCAAATTTGTTTTAAAATTCAAAGCAATACACTTGAAATAGCTGGAAGCAAAACAAATAGCTTGTCAAATAGCGCATGCCGCTTATCAGCGGAGATAGAGAGCCAAAGAGTGGTTAATAGCGATAGATAGAGAGAGAGAGAGAGAGAGAGAGTGAGAAAGGGAGAGGGAGATAGCGGAAAAGAGATAAGTTGCAGCCCAATTAAGCGAACATATGTGCCACTTTTTTGCACTTAATCAAGCCATAAAGATCTATCTCTAAATTTATACATACAATATCTGATTTTATACAGTGTGCTTCGTGTGTGTGTGTGTGTGTGTGTGTGTGCTTGTGAGATGTTTCAGCTGTTGCTGCATGTTGTTGTTGTTGTCGCTGAAAATGCCAAAAGTTGCCCTCAAGGTGATACGATAAAATCTTGTTACAACAGCAACAACAAGCGACAAATAATTTGTAAAATTGAGTCGCTGCGCAAAGCTCTTAATTATGAACAACAAAATGTATGCACACGCACACGCACACGCACACATGCATACATGTATGCATGTCTACTGATCAGAAATTCATATACATACAGATTTAGTGACTAAGTTAGCATACTTAAATGTATTTGTATTAATAAACAACAAACGATTGCTTGATAAAAATGATCTTGCATAAGAGTCGCTGGTTTGTTTAGCATTACATTTTGTTTAATTGCAATTCATGTTTAAGGAATTGTGCATTGAAATGCGATAGGGCACAGCTGTTGGATGAGCCAGCGTTTATTACTGCGAAAAGCTGGACAGCAGCGTGGTAAACAACAAAATAAATCAGCGCATCGGATTACTAGCGAGCGCAACAGGTGAACTTATCGATTTGCAGTGTGTGTAGATCGATAACATGCATGGCATGGCAAGACAAAGTTGTGACTATTTTGCACAAATATTAGTCACAAAAATAGCCAAAAAGGAAATTAGTTTCAATGTCAATGCAGAGCCGATTGGATGCTGTAGAAACAAAATGGCAATGAGACATTTGGTAGCGACGTCAACAGCAGCAGCAGTAGCAGCAGCAGCTGCACACACACACATACACACAAACACACACGCTTACATACAAGTAAACAAACTAATCGATAATTCGCACTCTCTTGCTCTCGCTCTTTGCTGCAATTGCAGTAAATGGTATGCGCTGCACCCATTATATTGGCGCCCAGGTCGCCCACAATGTGAGTTAGCGTGTGTAGTGTGTGTATACAGGGTCAGTGGCTGCCAATCCCATTTTCATGGCCAAAAGGCGAACGGCAACATAGCCAACCCCAAAACAACAACAATAAAGACGCTGGTGAATTAAGCTGTGTTACTCACCTGTCAAGTAGAAATTATTAAACTTTTGCGCTAGTCCCAGCAGACGCGACAGTTTTACCTCGGTTGACGACATTGATGAGGACGAAGGGAGTACAGGCTCGGGTAGCCAAAGTAAATACAAATACACTTTAAATGCCGGTTACTTTTGCTCCCACTCCTCGACTCCTACTCCCACACCAAAACCCGCAGCAACGATAACACACGACAATGGCACTCTTCAGATTTAGAGGACTGTTTTCGTTTTAATTAATTGTCCTCGGCATAGACTCGCTTCGTTTGCTGGCCGCACAACTTATTATTAATTTACTCTATTTCAATTAGGGATAATGGACAACCAACGATAAAACCAACTACCAAAACACAACCGCACGGAACGAAAACCACAGCCGTAGTGCTGCAAAATACGCGCTCAGCCCGATAACGATATAAACTCTGTTTAAGTGTTGCAAAGCTTTAAGCAACAGCTGATTGCTTAACAGCTGTTCGGTTTCAACGTACTGGCCCTGGCAAACTGAATATAATGTAAGTGTTGTTAAAAACATTCTCCTAGTGTGTTTAACAACACACGTGGGATACAAATGTCACGCTGACAAGAGTACAAGTTAGAAAAAGTTAGAAACATAAGCAGAGCACGGGAAACGCATTCGTTTCCCATTTGTGTTGTAAGCTTCAATTAAATTGGCATCTGATTGATCATAAATTAGTAACTAACCTTGGCAAGGCAAGCGATTAAATTCCAAAATGAGTGACGACTACTTAAGGAAACCATTTTCATTAGCGCCCCCACCAACCGGTAAGCAACACCCCGCATGTCCATACACATTACGCAATGTGACTAGCTGTTACATGGGGAGTTTTTGAATGAAATCTAGGGCTTTCTTCATTATTTTTATATTTAAATTGCAGTCGACGATCCACAGCCAACATCAACCACAAACTACACACCAGCAACGAGCACATTTAGCAGTGCTCCAGTCTCACCATACCTCAACTATGATTCACGGTTCCTGCAGCAAGCGCAGCCAGAGTTCATATTTCCCGAGGGCGCCAACAAGCAGCGTGGACGTTTCGAGTTGGCTTTCTCACAGATCGGCACATCTGTAATGATCGGTGGTGGCATTGGTGGCCTGGCGGGCGTCTACAATGGCATTAAAGTTACTAACGCGCTCAGTCAGACGGGGAAGCTGCGTCGCACCCAGTAAGTAGGCAACTGAGATTAAAGAGGGTATCTGGATACCATATGTTCCAGATATCTTAGCGCATGGTTGTACATTAAATCGTATCGCTTTTGTTTCCTCATATTGATGTGCATCTTTTTTGCAGATTAATCAATCACGTCATGAAGCAGGGCTCCGGTACGGCAAATACCTTAGGCACGTTGGCTGTACTGTACTCGGCGTGTGGAGTGTTGTTGCAGTATGTTCGTGATCAGGACGACAATGTAAATACCATAATAGCCGGTTCTGCCACGGGACTACTCTACAAATCAACAGGTGAGCTCACTCCAACCTAAACCTAATATACGTGTATAGTAATGTTTTTATTAATTTTTTTTCATATTAGCTGGTCTGCGAAAATGTGCCCTGGGTGGTGCTATTGGTTTGGGCATATCGTCGCTATATTGCTTATACCTGCTGGCGCAAGAGAGCAACAACACAAACTCAAGTCCAAAATTTCTGTAGGTGAGACGGCATAGCTTTAAGTGTGAAACGCTATAGCTGCTAACTAGCTGTGGCCAGAGTGGCTGTCATACACATGTGTGTGTAGTAGTCGCATTGATGCGCTTAACCGTCAAATATATAGTTTTGTTTTATATTATAAATACATACATATATATATATATATATATATTTAGATTTATCTGGACACTAAGAATTTCCTTTTTAGTTTAAACTCTCTGTTCAAATCTTCATCAGGCAACCATACCAAAATTCTTGTTGCTAACGAACACGCGCAATACAAAATCATGTAAATCGAACAAATAAAATTGTTTGCTTTAGATGCAACTTACCATAAAATGCAAAGCTTTATTGTTAGAAACGCGCCATCAAACTGTACTACATGAAAGTCACCACCTAATAATCGAGGGCACCAGAATCATCGTTAGATAACGCTAACACCTTAACGCTCTTGCGTTCGTCTAGGCCATTGTTGGCTGGTGCCTCGCAACTGGTGTCCTCTGTGGAGCATGTATGACAATGGCAATTGATGGCCTCCATGTAGCTATATTTACGAATGCTATCATCAGCCTCGGGATGACAGTTTTTCAGTACGGCCACCGACGGCTGACGATGCGCATGTACACACACGGGATGAAACGAGCGCTTGTAAGGAAATTTCCAGTCGGAGATCTCACTGGAATCGCAACGACCCCAACAGCTCCACACGCTCACAAAATCCCAGCATTCGCGACCCTGCAAATCTGACTGGGTCACCCGGTACGTGTACAAGCGACGATGACAGCCAAGAGGTGCCACAGTGGGTCCACTATAAATCGGATGCAGGTCAACCAATTGGGCGCTGGCCATATGCAGCAGCGGCGATGCCAAAAAAGCCAAACACAGTCTGGCGAGAAAGAAACGTATAACATTTTTGAATTAGCGACCTTTAAATTGAACGCCTTTATCGGAACTTACAACGCTGCGAGCATTTCTAAGCTTCCTCCGTGTTCCTTTGGCTGTCTAATGCGTGCTGTTCGCGACGCAGTCGGTTGCGTTGTGTTGGAATCTTTCGGCATATCTTCATATTTATAGGCAACTTCTGTTGCTGCTGCTGGTTGTGGTCGTGGCGTCTGCGCATCGCATCGCTTACCTCTTAGGCAATACGGTTGTTAACCTAAAAATAAACTTTGTAATTGTATGAGTTTTGCATATTGTATCCAACTGGAGCATTTGTGCGTTACAATTTAAATTTAAATTTAAAGTACTCTAAAGACAATTATATAAACTACATTTAGTACTATTAATATTCTGCATTTTATTGTGTATGATGCAAAGAATTTTGTGATACCATGAAAATTTTGATAACGGAATTTTCTTTATCAAATGTCAAAAAAATTGATACGGCAGCAGTCTTGTTGCGCCTCATGCTATGCAATAATTTTTGTTACTTGCCAAGAATTGTGTGCGTTATCGAAAGGTAAATAAAAAAAACGGTTTCTATGGACGTGGGCCACGTTGCCAATTTCTGCACCAGAATACCTTTGCCCACGCTAACGCATCCTCTATTGTATTCGTCGCCAAATATTGTTTGGCAATCTCCGTTAATGTCTGGGGGTCAGTGCCGGTTGATGGGGAGTTGCGAGTGAACGCCGGTTACGACGATGACGCCTACGAGCGACGACGTATCTCATGATGTGAGCCATAGCGCTGATTACGCAGCTGCACCCGAAAGCGCCGATTATTGTCTGGGCCGCGATCCTCAGCCTGGCGATTGAGGTGAACGGCGGGCAACACGGCTGCATCAACAGCAGCAGCTGCGGCTGCAGGCGGTATGCCGCCAGGCGCTGGTAGTGGTAGTGCCACCTGCTGCGGCAACTGCAGCTCCTCACCATCGACATCCTCGTTGGGACTCTCTTCATCCAGATCATCCAGGGCCGGATCATTGTTGTCAACCAGCGATTGTGAGCGATTCGTGTTGCCAACATCTTCGCGAGCCATTGCCGTGGCCATTAAACGTTGACGTCGCTCCTCCATAAGACGATCACGTTCCTTATGTATATAGTCGCGTTTGTTGGGCAGCCCGGCCACATTGTTTGCCGATAGCGCCGAGCGTACAATATTCATGTCCGTTGCCTCCATCCACTCGTCTGTCTCGGCCACATAGCATTCGGTGTGCGAGATGGTGGAGACGCCATTGAAGCCGCCAATGGCGAAGATCATGTCATCGATTATCTCCAGGCCAAAGTTGCTGCGCGAGTGATTCATTTGCCGTATAAAGTGCCAAGATTGGGATTCCGGATCAAATCTTTCGCCGGTAGACAGCCTGGATGTGCCATTGAAGCCGCCAATAACATACAGCTGATCCCTGAACGCTACACAGCTGACGCCCGAGCGACGATGATTCATATTTGGTATTCGTGTCCAGACATTGGTCAGTGGATCATAATACTCGGCACTATCCAAACATTCCTGACCATTAAAGCCACCCGTTGCATAGATGCGGCCGTGCAGCGTGCAAGCGCTGGCATCGGACCGCTGCATATTCATGGGTGGAATGATGGACCACTGATTGGTTTTCGGGTTGTAGCGCTCCACGGTGTTAAGGCGATTGTGTCCATCATAGCCGCCAATTGCATAGATCATGCCATTCAGTTCCGCCACGCTGACATAGCAGCGACGGCAGTGCATTGGCGCAATCTCATTCCACTTCTTCTTGACGGCATCAAAGACGCGACAGGTATTGAAATATTCGACGCCATCGTAGCCACCTATGGAATAAATTTTAAAGCCAAGAACGGCGGTGCCATGGTAAGCGCGCGGTCCAGCTGGATCCTCGGCATTGATGTTTACCCAGCGATCGGCGCGCGTGTCGTAGGTTTCGATGCAACCCTTCGATGTGCCACCACTCCAGCCACCAATGGCGAAGATGACCTCATGTGGCAGTCGCGGCATCGCCAACGGCGGTGTGGTTAGCTTGGGTTGAAAGGGCAAATCAAATGGCACGTATAAGTTGCTGCTGCAGAGCAGAGGGTGTTAGCATTACCTCTTCGGCTTGTGGGTTAAGAAAATCCAGATCATACATGAATTTAAAGGTATCGACTATCAGCGGTTTGGCAGCCTCGCATTGAATGACATAGGGATGCTCCTTGACCTCCTCCATGAAGCACTGAAGGATTTATATACATACTGATTAATTTCCCACATTTCGTTTCGTTTGCGTCAGTTGTCGCTACACGTACCTTGGGGGTCATCAGACCAAGGCGCACGCCCGTCATCAGATGCGCCACATGCTGCTTTCGATTTTCTGGATCTCGGTCAATCCATTTGACGCAAAGCTTCCATACGTAATCCTCCTCACGTGTATTTAGCTCATCATCACTAATAATGCTGTAAAAGTCCTTAATGTTCAAGTCCAGTATGTCCGTATTTCGGGCGGCCACATCTGTAAAGTACCTAAGCGTATAATTGCGCGCCTTCTGATACAAGTCCTCGAGAAACCGAAAGCTGCAATCAAATTCAAGTCAATTAAAAGCAGATTATACTTATTTCAATGCAAAAACAACAATTGAGATGCGAGATTAATGAACGAACGCGAAATGACGAGGGCGGAAAGCGGGCTCAACACTCATACTGACCGCGCAAACCCCATGATGCTGACACAGTTCTCCGGACTTAGTGTACGACTGAGATATTCCTTGCACTGTTTGACCAGCCCCACCATTCCAACATAATCCGCACAAATAAGCAGCTCGTGTACGTTGTCGTCGCTGATGTTAGTCTTGCGCAGGTAGGCGTACTGTATGACACAGTTCATGATGGACGCACTAATGCCCGGTATATGCACGACACGGCTCTCGTCATTCCCCGTTCCGGCACGGCTGTTGAACCCCGTAAACTGTGCGCTGCCGGGAAACAGGAGCACGAAAAAACAAAAAAAAAAAAGAGGAAATATTGTGCAGCGCCATCGTTGTGGATTAAATTGATTGTAAAGCGGCAAATGCATCAGGGAAACTCACCGAAAATATGAGCTGCAGGAACACATGATGGCACGATGCACATTGAAAGACTGCTCGCCCACCGAGATCTGCGCATCACACAGAAGATTCGCTTCGCGCAGTTCGTTGAGCACGTTGAGAGCATGGTCGCTGACAATGGGTGATAGAGATTTTGTGGAGGGCTTCTGTGTGGGACTGTTATCAAGTTCATCCCCTTGAAAGCTGCCGTCCATGTCCACGTCCACCATTTCTATCGGTGCCAGTTCCAGTTGGCCCTCATTCATGCCATGTAAATGATTACCGTTTTGCCGATTCATAGCGTAAGCGAGCCAGCGATTTTTTCTCGGTTGGGTCTGAAATCCTGGTCCTTGTCTAAATCGGTTGATTTTTATTGGGGGAAAAACAATTTCAAATGTATATTCAGTAATTGCATATCGATGCGCTAATAATTCAGAATGGTTCCTACCAAGCGAAACGCGTTTTGTTGATATTTTGTATTTTTTGTGGGCTGTTTTTAGGGAGAGATCTCTCCGTATTTAACAATAGGAACAGAAATAATGTTCGATAATTAATCAACAACAACGAGACAGTTCTCGTAACGCACGAAATGGGACTACTAAGTGAGAACTAAAAACTGAACGCACTCTAAGCAGGTTCATTTCTACGGGCTACACCTTTTAACTCTTACCCATGGCCCTAACACCTATTCGCTTACCCACGCTTCTTGCTTCCCACAATTTCTTGCCCCGTAGAAGAGTACCATATGCCAGGCAAAGGTATGGGCCGAGTTTCAAATGTTAAGAATGCCTTGGCATTCTGAACTAAGCACGAGCTTTCCAGACGTATGTCGCAAAGCCAAAGGGAATCATTTTAATGTGTTATGCCTTTTTAACATCCGATGGATGTTTATACATTAAATCATACAAATTGTTAACTTAGCGCAGTAATTGCAAATACAGAAAAAACTTGGTATATCGAAGACCCCAAAGACGGTTGGCCTCGGTAAATATGTCTGCAAATAGGGAGCACAATGAGTAAGCTATCCTTATATGAACAAACTTTCTTTTGCGTATAACTTTTGTGTTTCTTTGTACTTACATACAGATGCATCGCGCTCACACGAGTTTTGGATAAGTGATTCGCAAACTTATTGGCCCAAAAAGGAATTGCCTGTGCACAAATTCGTGTAATTGTCCTTAGCTTGCTTTATTTTTCGCTTTGCGCCTTCGTAAATAAATCGTTTTTTCCAATTGTCCCATGTCAGCATCAGTTCTCCTTGCCAAACGGTCGCACATGCGATATTCTTGTCTCATCTTCAAATCCGAAAGCGCCTGCTCTGGCACAGATCTGCAATTTTGTTCATGGTGCGAATAGTTTGCGAAAAATATGAAGAGCATCTGGACTTACCTACATGCAACATTCCAACAGCGCAGCCCGTGTGCTGCGTAAATTCTTGCGCACAGGATTTCGCGCCGCCTTCGCCAAGCGGAACGAGAGCCACGCGAAGTTCACAACTTGGGCCAACGGCAGGCCAGCACCTCGCTAATTGGAAACTGCTTAGAAGCTACCTGATCAGCTGGCGGCCATTAAGATGCAAATGCAAAATATTTAATTGTTTCCATAATTAAATTAAATTATATGAATTGAACATTTTTATTTTATAGATGAATATTTCAAAGGGTAGCCATTAGTTACACATAAAAGAAGGTAATTTCTTCTTTTTTTTTTGGTATTTGTTGTAGGTCATGCAAAACCAATATTTTTCACACAATCCACCGAACAAAATGAATTATTAAATAATTTCAACACACAGATTTACATACACACATACATATGTACATATACATAGGGATCTTTATCTACAATGAATTAAAGACCATTAAGCAAATATTGAATTTTTTTCAATTCTATTGACTTTCACAATTCCAAAAGTTAAATGTTTTGGGAAGTAGACCTATTTCAGCATCAATGGGCCAAATTGCACTCTAAGCATTAATATTCACGTTACTGTTATACTTTGTTTACTGTAAAAACAGCGTGAACATACGCGGGCGATATGCATTGACGAACGTGCGTAGGTAACGAAAAGAAAAGGAGAATTACAGTTACGGCACCGCTTCATATTTTGTGTGAATAAGATGAAGCAATCAAAAAAAATTGAACTACACGAATAACTAAGTAATTTGAGTTATTTATTTGCTAGTAGCTGTCATAAGCCACTCTTAACTAACGAAATGCTTTAGGTCTGGCAAAAGAATAATCACATATTGTCTTGCCCTTGACCGAACAAAATAAATTATAGAACAATTTGAGCACACAGATGTTTAGAGGCTTTCTATAATGCATTAAAGATCATCACGGCAACATTTCACGATTTCAAAAGGTTTAGCTCCAAGAATGGAATATTTTCTGCATCAAATATGCACTGACTGCGCATCACTAATCGACAATGTTACAGTTATGTATACTTTTTTTTTTTGCAAATATGCGAGCGCAAGCGGGTGATATGCATTGCCGAATGTGCGTAGGTAACGAAACGACAGGAGAATTACAGTTAGTGCGCCGTTTTATCTTTTATTTGTGTGAATAGAACGAATCTATCAAACAACAATTTTATGCAATTACTTACATGTAAGGAATTCCCTTTTTTTGGTATAAGCTGTTATAAGCCATACGTAATTTACGAAAAACCTTAGATCATGCAAAATAATAATTCTCAAATATTATCTTACTCACCGAACAAAATAAATCATAATTTTAACACACAGATGTACATTGCACAATAAATTAAGTATCATCACGGAGACACTGATCATTTTAGTCCGATTCTATAGGCTTTCACGATACCAAAAGTTAAAATGTGTTCAAGACTAGACTCAGCATCATTCAACGAAATATTGCAAGTCAATATGTGCTGTCTGAGCTTCACTATTCGTCAACGTAACTGTTATATTTGCGATATTCTTTTTTTGTTTGCAACAACAACGCGATCAAACGGTTGATATGCATTGACGAATAAGCGTGTGCACCGAAACAAAAGAAGAATTACAGTTACTGCGCCGAGGCGCCATTGCGCATATATGTATGTATGTATGTACATATGTAAACATGCTTAAACATGAATATGTAATGCAAAATGTGCTTCTTTCGTCAATGTACATTTGTATGTACGTATGTAATTCGTTCGCTAAAAAAATAAATCATTATAGTTATTCCCGCTTCTGGGCCATATTAAAAATAGGAATATGCAAACATGGTTTTTATGCATGAATATTTTAGGCAAGCAATATTTTCCCCCACCATGACTGCCTACCTATTAAATGCAGCCCATTGCCCACGACATGATTCGTTCTTTGCGCAAGCGCCGTATTCTGCTGGCCGGAATAAAACAGAGCGTCCATTGGGAAGCGGCCAACAGTCATCATTGACCCACAGACGAGATGAACTCGATAACGCTGTTGGCATTCGTTTTGTGGCTGCTCTGCTCCTCGTTTCTGGCCGCCGAGAGCAGTGTGCCCGGCAAGGACACATGGTTGCGTCCTGGCTGCCATAAGGTGGGAAATACGCGTAAAATCTCAATACCAGATTGTGTGGAGTTTACGATTACAACGAATGCTTGTCGCGGCTTTTGTGAGTCCTATGCGGTTCCATCGGTACCAACGGCATTGACGGGTTTGTTCAGACCACCTAAGCCGGTTGTGTCGGTGGGTCAGTGCTGTAACATGATGAAATCAGAGGAGGTGAGTGATCCTAATGAATCAGGTGAATGCATGGCTAGATTTTAAGCCTTATTCCTTTCAGATACAACGCCGTGTGCTTTGTATTGAGGGTATACGCAATGTGACCTTCAAGAGTGCCGTCTCTTGCAGCTGCTATCACTGCAAAAAGGACTAGAGGAACCGCCTGAAAATAAAAAATATATGTATTTAAATTTTATGCCTGAGCCACACTTAAGTTATTTCCATCTTTAGGTACAATTAATAAATATTAAAATTAAACTTTAGCTTTTTTTCTTGTGCTGCATGCCGTTACCGACATCCTTGGCCGTGGAACTAGAGCTGTTCCTTTTCCTGAGATGCCCCATATCGGTCAAAGCCGATTTAATTGCCGTGCAGTAACGCGCGACCGAGATATCTGGATTTCCATCCCAGCCAGAAATGGCAAAGGTTATATCATTCTCGCGCAAATTATAACAGCAGCCATAGCCCTCCGAGTTGAGTGGTCCGTAGGCCATAAAACAGTCATGTGGTGTCGTAAGGTGGGAGCTGACTATACGAAAATTTTTGGATCTCTGATAACCCGCAGTGTTAAAAAAGTAGGGCAACGGCTTGCCATGTTCAAGTGCCATCTGTTCCAGGCCGAACAAATGGCGATCCACGCCACGTCCCTGATGCGCCAGCATTGTCTGATGCTGATGAGAGTCCACTGCGGCACGCAGTGCCAACCAGGAAGCGCTAGATGAGGCTTTTCCCGAAACCATGGTATGCACAAAATTCGAGGATTCTTTTGAAGTTGAACGTACGACTTCGCTGCGTCCCCTTTTAAAGATGCGCAAATGTGCCGACTCGTGCTGGACGGGCAGCTGCTTGTGCTGCCTATAAAAGGCCAGCTGCAGTGCCATCTGCACAAAGCTATCCGGTGCAAGGCCTTGGGAATTGATGAGACTCGTGCCGTAGCAATCGAACTGGAATGCATGCAGCTTCAAACGTCTGGTGATTTTTTTTATGTTATGCTTCGCCGCCGTCAACCTGCAACCGATACATTCGTCGACTTCTTCAAAACTAATGTATTCCACCAGGTCACCTGGGTCCGTGGTGTGAGAGACCATTCCATATTCCGGATTGACACTAATTACATAAGAGATAACCGACTCAGCAAATACTGTATAAATAATACGAAAGAATTAACATACATGTTCTTTAATATATAATCCATAATGCTGGCCGCCGGATACGGTTCCGCGGCCGCAAGCTCACAGCACAGACCGGCCATGCCGTTGGGATTGACAATCAACTGCAGGGTCTTGTCCATCCAGCGATTGGCACTATTAAAATGCAACCCGCCGCCATGCAAAAGCTGAGCAGCCAGTATGGAACGCTCCTGGCCTTCCGGCACCTCAAGATATTCGTCCAGGGAGACTGTGAAGAGCGCCTGTTCGATGCACTGAATCGCATAGGCATCGAGATCTTTGCGACAAAGCAGCTCACGGCCTTCGGCCCAGTTGTTGCGTGTGTCGTGGGTGAGCAGGCCAATTGCTGGGCCCTTAGAATGCCCTGAATTAATAATTTCCACCAATTGCTTTCTGATCTGAAACACGTTGTACACATCTTTTTGCTCCGTGCTGTAAACGGGTAGCTTGTAGAACTATAGGACACATAAGATACGATTAGGATAGTTTTTTTTTTGTAAATCTCCAAGGAAGCTTACATTATTGTTGTGTATTACAACGATATAGTTGGATCCGAACTGTTGCAGGACATCGCTGTCGCGTTGCGGTGTGCGGACCGAGCCAAATACTTGGTGAAGTTGACTATTATCCAGCTTGAAGTATCCCAATGTGCAAACGGGTATTTGATTGCTCTCCACCAGACTATTGAACTCGCACATGGCATATATGGCCTTGGCCGTGAAGTCCAAAAATTCAAAAGTACTACGAAATTGTTGCCTAGGAAACGCTATGCAAGGACTGGAATAGACAGTTAAGGGTGAACGATGTCGCAAGTAGGTGACCTTTGTCCAGCGCTCGGTGAGCCAATTGTTATCGGCTTGTCCAGCTTCCTGAAGCAGCTTTTGCAGTTCACATCCCTTGTTGTTCAGAAAGTCGCGTGTCAGCATCTGCTCCATTTCAAGGGCCTTCTCCTTGAAAAGCGGTTTTAGGCTGTTTAAATAACGATTTAGAGTCAGCTGCAGTGGTATAACCGGATAATTGGGTAATTGACATTTCAGACCAGGCAGCACCACTTGGCCAGTTTTTGTTGGGTTCAATGCCCAAGCTTGTGCCCGTGCACAGATACTTGCTGGTATTTCTAGGCGGGAGAAGATATCGGCCTCTGCTCTCTCTATATCTAAAAATTTGGGAGTTCGGTTCGCTTTACTAACTAGATTTGTTGATTGATTTCTGGGTATGGATTTTTTCTTGATTTTGGGCAATCTCTTAGGCTCCGTTTGCTGTAGTTTGACGCTAGTCAATCTTTTAGGCTCCGTTTGCTGTAGTTTGACGCTAGTCAATCTCTTAGGCTCCGTTTGCTGTTGCTTGACGTTATCCTTAGGTGATATAAAAGTTGGTAGGAATTGAAATTGTTTTGCCAATGTTTTCACATAGAAAAAGAGTTTTGCAATGAGGCTCCTTTCCTTTTCGGGCTGATTTCTTATGTACTTTGTGTGCACGTTGTTATTCTGTTTGCCGTAATTACGGGAATTGCCGTTGTACTGCGTGGGCTGAATTCGGATTAGAATCATTTAAGCATTGTCCTGCTGCACACTTACTATGCTCAGGAAGCGCTCTGTCGTGATTAGGGCCCGCATGATACAATTTGGAGAAGAATCGAAAGATTATAGCAAATTTATACTCTAGACGTAATAAATAACGCAAACTAGATGTGTACAGATGAGACTTACTGGGTTTGAGACTGATGTGTGCATGATTTTTGTTAAAATACAATCCGGTCTTTAATTGCACTCGAAATTTAATAAACATTGAAAAAACATACTTTTTTAGGTCACTACAGCTTGGACTTCGTGGGTTCCTTGTCAAGAACCGCCTGCATTTCGAGGAAAGCCTTTGTTAGGGCCTTTGCAAACTTGTCGGGGTCTGTTTCAGCATTAGATTTCCATGCCGAGATCGCTAGTATAATATCGCATTCGCGAGGATTATAACAACAACCATATCCATCATGTGTGGCCGGCCCGTACCCCATGAAGGCATCGTACTTTGTGGCCACCTGAGATGTGGACATACGAAAGTGCATGGACTTGGTGTAGCCCACAGACGAGTAGAACCTGGGTACGGGCAAATTATTCTCCAGTGCCATCAACTTCAGACCCAGCAGATGACGGTCAACGCCGCGTCCCTGGAGCGCCAGTCTAGTATACGCCTGATGACTACTGACCGCCTCGCGCAACAGCTTGGCGCGCATCTCCACAGATGCATCTTCGCTGGTCATCGCCCGACAAAAGTCTAACGATTCATTCGAGCAGGAGCGTATGGTTTCCGTGCGCCCATTCTCGAAAATACGCAGGTGCGCTGATTCATATTGAGCAGCGGGTTCGTTGTGCATTCTAATAAAAAAAAAAAATTGATAGCATTACATATTTGGATAGAACTTACATTTAAAAGGTGTCTACTTGTAAAACGCCAGCTGAAGGGCCATCTGCACGTAGCTGTCTGGCCCTAGGTGCTTATTTTTGATGTACTCCTTGCCATAACTATCGAATTTTAGCACTTTCATTTGCAGATCATGAACAAGGCGATCGACATTACGTTTAGCATAGAATATCCATTGCCCAACGCATTCGTTTAGTGGACAAAATTTGATCTTTTGTGGCTTATTTAAAGGCTCAGAGGAGCCGCATTCACCAAACTTCTTGTCCTCGCTCCTAGAATTTAGAGTGATAATTATATGGGAGCAATATATGGAGCAAATTAATGCTTACATTTTCTTTACCACATAATCCATCATCATGGCAATGGGCTGCCCCTCAGCTGGGGAATGTTCGTAGGCGAAGCCAACGTTTCCATTTGGATTGACCACTAGTTGAATGGTTTTGTCCATCCAACGATTGCCGCTATTCACTCTGCTACCTCCACCATGAATCAGCGACAGGATCAATTGATTGGCCTGGTCACCGGGCTTGAATGAAACGCATTCATCCAAGGAAACAGTGAACAGCGAAGTCTGTATTGTCTGAATGGCCTCCTTATTTTGCGGCATTGCGGACAGTTGCCCATAGGCCTCTGCCCAATTGTCACGCGAGTCTGTGGTGAGGATGCCATAGGGTACACCAAAATCGATTTCAGCTTCCATTATTATATCCAACTGTTTGGCCAGAGCTGGAGCAGATAGTAGTTTATCGTCCTTGTCGTATAGGCACAATTTGTAAAACTATTGGGTTAAATATAAATAATTAATGAATATTAAACCACTTTCAAGTACGCAGACTTACATGATTTTTATAGATGACCACCACGTGCTTGGAACAGGGATTATATACAATCTCATCTGTGCCCCGTCGCGGTATACGACAGGTTCCAAATACCTTGCCAAACTGACTATTGTCCAGCTCATTCTTGCCCATTTTGACAACTGGTATTTTACCAGAATCTACGATGCTTTTAAATTCGCCGAGGCCAAAGATCACTTTTGCCGTATAGTCAACGAAGGCACGTTCATTTTTAAACTTTTGCGGTGGAAATGTCATGCCGGGACTCACATAGACGGTGACTGGATCACGATATTGCAGGTAGGCCGTCTTCAGCCAGCGACCCGCCAGCCAGTTAGTCTCATTTTTACCCACCTCTTCGAGCAACGTCTGCAGCTCATCGCCCTCTTTGTCTTTAAATTCTTCCGTTATATCTCTTTGCTTCTTAAACTCGTCGGTCGTCAGCAGGGGCTGAACACTGCACAGAAAACGGTCCAGCGTTTCATTCAGTGGCAAAACCGGGTATTTCAAAAGATTCTGCTTTGGTGCCCCATTTTGCGGCACTTGCGGCTGCTCGGAGCCTTTGCTGCCAAAGCTGGCAGGCAGCAGCTTGACAAGAACATTCGAAGTTTGATTTGCTTTGATGGAACATTTGGTCTGTAAGGCGGATGTTAGTTTGGATTCGGGTCATAGTTGGCAATTACTCACCAAATTCCAGAAGACACCTCTGCTGTTCAGCAATCTCATCTCGGCTTTGGGCGGATCAATTCTTCTTTCAACGGACGAGCTGCAAAAACCCAAAGAAAAAATTAAGCTCAACAGTACAATAATCCAAAGGTTATTTTTTGTATGTGTGTGCGCTGTGGGCTTTTTTAAATTGTTAACCTTTGATAAGTGTGCATTATCGTAAAGGATGGCGATAAAAGTGGCGTTTAGATTAACGCTGTCGACGACACAGCACTTGGCTTGGTCCACGTAAGCAAAGTGCAGTTAACAATTGATATCAGACAAAAGACGACCGGTTTTCTTTAACCATTTTTTTAAACTGCGCTGTCGCAGTCCCAGTCGCTGCTTTTGCTGCCTTTATGTTATCGCTGTTAACGCTGGCGTCGGCGTCGGCGTCGGCGTTGGCGTCGGCATCGAAAGTGAGAGCGGTTTGTGCAATGTCTTGCGACTTGTTGAGCTCTGTTTTGCTATCGGCACGTCTTTGCTTACCCTTTGACGCTCTTTGTGACTTCTCTTCTGTAATTGTTGGGCACTTTTTGGATGTTATTGGGCCGAAAAAAAATATTGTGACATTTCCGAAATAATTATGAATTAAAATTCTACATATAGCAGTCAACCTGTTTATCCAAAGTATATATTATGATTATCCGCATTAGTGGTGGAACTCTAACGATAGTAGCGTGCGATGAATACTAAATAACAATTAATAAAAAGAACAGAAAAACCAACCGTAAATATTTATTAACGATGTTTGCGTTATGTTTATCTATGTACTGGTATATATTTCGATATAACGACATAAATACTGTTGTATAACAGTATTAAATTTTACCGATAGCACTGAGTACATTTTGATGAGTGGGGGGGGGGGGGGGGGGGGGGGAGAGGGAGTGAATTCTGTTAACTGGTGGAGCTCTGTTAAGAAAGCAGTGTAGTTAAGTGCGCCAAATTCAAATTTAGAATTTTTCATTGAACAGCACCAGGTACTTCATTTCAGGGATTTGCTTTTTAAATAATTTGTTTATTACATTTTAAATGGTAGAATTACATGGTCTAAGGCTAAGATATTTATGCATTGTACAAACGCTTTGATTTGTTATGCGTTTGCCCATAAATTCTGCTTCAATACAAAAATCACAGCAATTCTTAGCATAGATAACGCACTTGAACTACAATTGTTGTGCAAATTTCTTATTCGACTTTCATTATAACTTGCTTTAATTCATATATAAATTCAAATTATTTTTGGCACCTCATGGAGGTGACTTGTTAACTAAATTAAGCGAACGTAACTTACAAACTGCTTAAATTCGATATAAATAACGCCATAAAAATGTTAGTTTTTTGTAAAAAGAATCAGCACTATTTGCGCTGTTTGGTATATACAGAGGATATACATACATCGATCTTTTGTTGTTTAAAGCTATCACAGTAAAAAAAAACCAACACTTGGCTTTCATATTATTTACACTATATAAAATGCTATATAAAACAAAAAGCGGCGATGCCGATGCCCAACCAAACTAGCACACTAAAATGCACTTGCAAATATGCACATACATCATCTTAAGGAAACCGAAAACCTAAGTTAAATACTAGAATGGTGGCGTAATTCTACACGTGCTTAATGGAATCCGTCCCGTCTAATTTATCGGAATGCGTATAAGGCGTCCAACTCTTGCTGTTATGCTCGCCATCCATATTAACATGCGAGCTGGAACTGTTGGTCGATGCGGGCGACGAGGCAAAGCCGCTGCTGGTCAAACTAACGCCCAGCTGTAAATGCAAAGAAATTTCATATTGTGTAATTAGTATAGCAATGGTAACTATTCAAGTGTATGCAAATATTCGAAAAAGAATCAACTCGTGTGACTCCCGAAGGCAATGCTTGCCCCGAAAACCGGTTTGATGTTTCGCCTGTTGCCGACAGCCTCCAAACCTAATCAAATTCATCTAACGCACTCGTAAATTCGTGACGGAATGAACGCTCGCCTCCGACTCGTTAGACAGCTTGGCGTCGATTTCCTTACACCGTGCCGCCACCATTAGATTAAGCATTTATATGCTCGCCCCTAATAAGTGACATAACATATATCGTTGGTAGCTTACCTGTTGCTTCGGGCCTGTTTTGCTCGGACTGGCTGCATCCACATCCATATCACTGCCATCGAAGCAATCTATGCAAGCATCATCATCTCCATGCTCTACTTCTATGCACGAACTGGATGTGGTGGAGTTGCGGCTGAGGGTGACAGTATCGCTATCGTTGCCCTCATCGCTGCTCTCCGCATCGGAGAGCGCTGGCTCCAGCTCTAGGGCGTAGGCAGACGGTCTTCGCTCCTGATAGTCCTCGTCGCTGGCCCGTATAATAACATGTTTCTTTGCGGCGGGAATATCGTCCAGCAGCCTAAGCTCACAAGGATTATAGACTTGATTGCCACCGCCAACGATGCCCCCGCTGCCAGTAAGATTCTGCAGCAGATTGGCGCGTGCATATTTACTGTCCGAAATGTTGGTCGCCTGGCGTGTAAAGCTGGACATATGTAGCGTGGCACGTGTTATGGCATAGACCAGCAAGCCCACGCCCAGCACCAAAGCACCCCAAAAGCCCAAGGGATTGACTAGTGGTAAGATATTCAAATAGAAGCTGAAACGAGAGTCAAGCTCGTCGGGCAGCTTAGGCATCATCTGAAAAGATACAAAAGCCACATTCAAGACTCTGTTGCCTACATAAATGGACGGGGGCTGTACTTACAATCTCGAACCACAGCATTGGGGCGGTCAGATGACTAAACTGTGAAACTTGCGGATAGTTTTTCAGATCCTTGAAATGCATGTTGATTTGCACTTTTACGGACAGCGATAGCGGCAGACCAGATTCCTAAAAAACGGTAGTAAGGTGTTATTGTGTTTTTGTCAAGTGTCAAGTACGACATCATTTCGGCTGTACTTGGCCTTATTTAATTAAATTTAACAGCTTAAATATAGGCCTGGTTGCGCCAGTTGTCCTTAGGTAACATTTTATTTTCAACCTCAAGCATTTCGCATTCTCTTGCCGCTTATTGAAACAACTATTACTCGAAACAAAATTGCTGCTATTGACAAAATGATCGATTCGAAGCGTCCGCTTGATATTTATTTGATGTTAACAAATGTAACTTGCAAGTGTTGTTAAGTACTTTAACTAACTAGTGTTGTAGGTGCACAAGAATCATCGAATTAGCACAACATGTAACACTGCGGCTTAAGCCATTGTGAATTCAATTTGTGAATTTGTTTTTATTCACAGCTCCAAATGAAGGTCACACTTACATATATGTATGTATGATTGTTGTGATTTATGCATGCCAATAAAATTCCGTTAGTTAATCTGACGCGCACTTAGAATCTTATTAGCTTCCTGTTATACATAAATTTATTTCGCCTTTAAAAAATCTGCCTAGTCGTGACTAGCCGTATTTACGGTAAACTTAATTAGCCGGAAGTGTAAGTTTTGAACAACTAATATAAATTTCAATAATAAACAATTAGCTTCCACGCGATTGCAATCGGTTAGAAGGTAAGCGCAAAAAAAAAAAAAACAGGTAACAGCAGCAACAACAAAAATGCTAACAACTTTAGCATGATTAACTCAAATATTTAGTACAGGTTAATTGTAACACTCAATGTGAATTTTAATTAAATATTGTCTATATTTTTGTATATTTTGTTAATCGATTTTTTGTTTTTTTCAGATACGATTGCTACGAATAATGATTGACAGTTGCAAAATTGAAAGTTGCCGCTATTAATGCAACATCAACAACAACAACAAGGCAACGTGTTGTGGAGACTCCAAGGTTACTTACCGGTTGGATGACAAAGGCTGAAGAATGCTTTTCAGGATCAGGCTGCATGCCGGTAATGTTCTCCACTAGGCCAACATCGCCATTCATGAAATGTGGAAAGCTTAGAGAGATGGGGAAACCATAATAACAGTCCGTGACGTCAATCAGGCCGACCGGCTGGCAATCGCCTGCAAGCAGAAGAAGAAGACAACATTAGTTTGTGCGTGTGTGTTTGTTTTTGCTATTTTCGAGGCTACACGAACGCAACAACTGTTACGTCTGAACGTTACGTTACGTAACAGTATTGCGTGTCTCAAGTACTGAGGTAGTTACTTTCATTAATATCATTACAGTTGTTTTGCAGCATGCGAAACGCGTTGTCGCCAATCGCGTCACAGCTTAAATACCCTGGAGTATTTTGGAGAGTCAGAGAACAGCATAAGGTCGCGTACACTTGAAAAATATTCCATGTCAACTGATAAACGGAATAATACGAGGGGGCTATCAATTAGCCAGCGCAAGCGGGGGGCTACGCTTAAAAACAAGAATTTTTTGCGCTTTGTACTGGGCAATTAAATGAACTGACGCCGATCGTAAAGAATGAGACTTAGGTCGCCTGATGTAATTCAAGACACAACAGTATTTATATTAAATAAATGCATTAAAGTACTATTAGTAAAGTTCCAGAAAGTTATTTAATTGTAAGGGCAATTAAACTGAAATGTGGTCCATTGAAATATTGTGTCTAGCTCAACTGATTCAACTGATTTAAATCATTTAGCTCGCTTACCTCTGCGGCAGAAACATTTGTTGGCCTCATTTATGGCACCATTGTCGAAGGCATTCTCCTCGAACACATAGTTATAGCCCTTCAGGCTGCCGAAAGTGCGCTCCTCCCCATCTCGATACTGTAATAGAAAAGATTATAATCAAACGATTATTATGGAAGCTCTTTAATAGTAGTCCTTACCAAGTTAATGGGCCTGCACATACTCTTTCTGAAGAACTTTACTGTATCGTTGGGTTGAATGAAACTTCTGAACTTGGTACCATCGGAGGCATACTCAATGTTGTTGCAATGGTCGGTCTCCCATTGGGGCAGCCTGGTCTCTCCACGATAGGTGGCATACAGGCCCGATGCGGCCGCATCTGGCACGCCCGTATAGAACGTCTCAAAGTCGGATGAGAAGTCATACATGCGATCGATCAGTCCGACCTTCTCGAACGATATCCAGTTGGGCAAAAGCGTGTTGCCCAGCGTCGCCAGCGCAGAGGGATAGCCGAACATGAACTCCTTGGCAGTCATTCGGACAATGGGCTCCGATTTCGTGCTGGCAAAGAGTCCTTGCAGTGGCAAGCGTACGAAAAAATAGTTACGATCGGCAGTTAAATGGGAGATAGCCTGGAAAACAAGAATAAAACAAGGTGGGTCATACATTGTTGCTCAACTTAAAGGATAAAGTCAATGCTTGACAGGATGTATTACATCTATCACATCACTGCGTGCTAGAGAACCAGTCTATCAACGGCTCGTTACAGGTGCCTATAGTTCTAGTCGGTAAATATAGCATTTAATGAACAATAATTATCGACTTCCTGTGCAGCAAGTAATATCAGTAACTGCCAGTTAGCGCAATAGACTGACTGACAGACTCTTGACAGACTGGGCCCAATGCATTATTCATCAATTTGGGCCTATATTGCACCCGGTTGCTACACGAAGTCGAAACCAAAAAGCTGAGCGCGTGTTCTTGTTTATAACGTTTTTCTTATTCTTTTTCGACTGATTGGCATAACGTAACGTAATCTGGAAATTGGCATTTTCACTTTTTGTACGCGGCGCGCTGTTTGGCATAAATTAAACAACTGCAGCTATGCTAATTTGAAATACTTTTAATTGAAACATCATAAAATCAACAATTAATTATAGCTATATGTGCATATATTTATCAAATGTACGTTTAGCTGCTTTTTGATTTGTTTACGATTTTCAAATACGATATGCTCATTAATCAGTGAAAATTGCTGACAATAACAAACACGCCCACAGATAGCGGCAATTATCGATATACATACATATGTTATAAGAGCAAAAAAAACGACAAACATAACTTTCGAAAATATTAAAGCGTGCGAGCGAGATGGGTATACGTATAATAAATAACGGTAGCGGTTACGATAACGGTGCGCACGACGCCCACAAACCGCAGCTCACTTGTTCACACGCTTACTTACACTCGCGTCTGCTGTCCCTTTCGCACACTCCCACAGTCGAACAGCGGAAATTAATTGCCCACCATTTAGTTAAATATGTTGGCAATTTTTGACGCCACTTTAAAATATTATCGCACTCGTTGTTGTTGTTGTTGTTGTTGTTATTGCTGCGATTGTTGTTGTTGCTGCTTAAATGTAACGTTTATTGACCTAAACGTGAGCTCTGCCTGCTGTTATTGCTGTTGTTTGCATTTCACAGCTTAAATGACTTTTTTTCTCTTCTTTTTTTTTCAATATAATTTCTGTTTTCGTCATGTGCGCGGCACGCGATGTTTTTTTATTACTGTTATTGTTGTAGTTGGCAAACTAACGGTTTAATATGTAGTTATTCTCCACAAAACATTAGCATGAACATCGCGTCGTTCAGCTGCTGACAAATTACCATTGATTATATGTTGTAGACTTGTGTAGAGATAAGTCAATAGACAATAATCTGTCATCGGATTGCATCATACCAGAGTTCGAAGAACAGTTAATTGTAATTGGAAAAGTTAGGAATGGAACGAAACCAATTAGCTTTTTTTTTCTTTTTTTTTTTTAAATAGGTATTTCCTTTAAGTTTCTTGATTGCAATTAGCATTGTAAATATTTTATTGAACGCGTTTTGTAAGTGTTATTGTTTTTTAATCTACGAACCTTTGTTGGTTCTTTTTATTATTATATGTATTTGTAGAGAAAAATATATTTTTCTTTTTCCCGTACTCACCAGCATAGCTATGTTTAGCATTATGACCTCGTCGTCCTCGCGACGACCTTCGGATAGATGCTCCTGCCAGACCAATGGATGACTCGGTGTCGTGGACATGGTGTTGTTGTCATTGAATGTGATATTCTCATGCGTCATGAGCTCTCTGTAGCCCGAAAACGAAACGAATAATTGCGATGATAAATAATTGAAATTTGTGTATTTTGTTATTTTTTTTTTTTTTTGGTTTTTTGTTCAGGCTTGTGGAACTTACTTGTAGACGTAGGGACCCACTTGCTCCACTTGGAGCTTTTCGCGTCCCGCCAGAAAGGCCTCAGCATTGGTTATATTGAATAAATAGATTTTGATATACAAATCGACTGGTGGCTTGGCCCAAAGATTGAAGATTTCACCATTGTCGGCCATTATCAATTTCTGAAAGAATCGAGTCGAATTTATAACATAAATATGGTGCGTTCAATGGCGGGTTTAAATAATTGCAGGCGCCTAAAACGGATTGCATTTATTGGATGAATCGTAGACGCGAACTATGTACGTGCCAATATTGAAGGCGACTTGATTTAAACGCATAATTGTCGATCATTTGGCAAAGGCTAAGGACGGCAGTTAAAAAGCTTTAGTTTCTGTTTATTGGACTCACCCATTTGAATATCAAATCGTAGGGTTGGAATACTTTAACCAGCACCGCCGCTGTTATCGCCAAAAATCCTATGGCCAGCAGCAAAAAAGCGCCTGCAAAATTATAGACAGAAAATATATGTACGTTAGATATAGGTTTTTGGTTTCGTCGAGTACATATAAATAACCTCATTAAGTTAATTAAGACACGATTAATTATGCATAAAAAGGCAGCGTGTGCGACACGCAAAAATGAAAATTGAGAATTGAATAAAGCAAAAAAAAAAAACAACAACAAAACAAAACGAAAGAACTCAAAAAAAAACAAAAAAATATGAATACAATTAAAATTTGCATATCAAAAATAATATTGTAATCAATTTTGGACACACGAAAATGTTCCATTTGATCTTGCAGAGCTCCTTAGAATTTGTTGGGATTACGCGTGTTCGACGCACCGATTCGAGAATTTGTAGTTCTATCAAGAAGGCATAGGGAGCAATCTTTTGGTCAAATTTTGTATATCAATAGCCCAGTTAACGGGGATTACATACGTATGGGAATAAGATTACGAGCAACGAATAGGCTTAAGTATATAATTTATTAAAAGGAGATAATACTAGTCGCACCATTGACCCTGAAATGCCGCAACCTGTTCTAGTCGTCTTAGCAATCCTATATAGAATAAGTTTTATTGCCATTCTCAGTGCCCATCTGACGTGAATTATGTTAATCGTCATGTCTTTACAAGTCAGAACTGCGACAGACCTCCGACAACTGCAGACAGTATTAATCGGACGCTGTCAGCCGAGTTCCTCGTGAGTGAAGTGACTTTTACAAGCACTCAATCCAAGTATATTGAGTCATTGAATAATTCCTCAACAATTTAATGGGGCTGCGAAAACGTAGCAGATATATAAGCCTGTCTATAAGTATTTTCTTATTAATAGAACAGCAATAAGAAGGGTATTCCTGCAGATATATAAGCCTGCATATAAGTATCTTTATTAATAGAACAGCAATAAGAAGGGTATTCTTGCAGATATATAAGATATATATATTCTTGCAGATATATAAGTATCTTTATTAATAGAACAGCAATAAGAAGGGTATTCCTGCAGATATATGTCTGCATATAAGCATCTTTATTAATAGAACAGCAATAAAAAGGGTATTCCTGCAGATATATAAGCCTGCAATAAGAAGGGTATTCTTGCAGATATATAAGCCTACAAATAAGTATCTATATGAATAGCACAGCAATAAGAAGGGTATTCCTGCAGATATATAAGCCTCCATACAAGTATCTATATGAATAGAACAGCAATAAGAAGGGTATTCCTGCAGATATATAAGCCTGCAATAAGAAAGGTATTCCTGATGATATATAAGCCTGCAAATAAGTATCTATATGAATAGAACAGCAATAAGAAGGGTATTCCTGTGATCAGCGACTGGTCAGCGACTTGTTCTCCCGCTGGCTTTGGCCAAGAACTTGTTAACTTAGGTGCAAATGGTAAAACAATTCTGGCAACAATGCGTGGCCAAGACACGTGCATAATCCGCTCGAACTGATGGGAGAGATGGTTGCCATGAAACTGGTTTCAAATTATCTGGCAGCAGCCATCAGCATTCAAATAGATGACTATGTTTTATCGTTTTAGTATGCTTCGCAAATAAAATCAACAAAACTTTTGCTTTTCTACAGCCAGATATGTGCATCGGGCAAGGAGCAGTCGATTGGCGAGTCCAAACCCGAGCCATGACTTGTTTGGCTCTTAATGGGTTTACTATAAAAAAAAAAAAAAAACACACTCAAATCTGTTTCGTGGGGCATACGGCATTCGGGAAGTGACGTGAATAGGCATAGACTATAGATATATATAGTAGGGTGGATCTTACTCAAGAGTTACTGAGTTTTTAATACTATAGTTTATCTATATATATACTTATATAGAGTAGGTTGGATCTTACTCAAGAGTTACTTGAGTTTTTAACACTATAGTTGCAGTTATCTGATTGTCAAAGTAATCATTGAGATTAAGATATTCGTGAAGAATTCTCTGCCGAGTTCAACAGCTTGAGGTCAGTTTGATGTAGGGTAAGGCGCTGGAATCTGACGACTGATCAAGTTGATCAACTTATTAATATTTAGTTTCGATTTGGTTTTCAAATTGAATACAGATCTAGTTAGCTCACAGGTTAAGTCACTGCTTTATAATTTGTATATGATTAAAAACAGTTCAAATCGATCAACTGATCTTCGGCATTTAATAACACTTATTAAGTCACTGCAGCTTTAATCAGACAGTTAAAAACAAAAGCCAGTCCATACATATATGCTTTTATTTTTTTTTTTCACACCAAGATCGATCGGCAAGATCGTACCGGTTATTATAGAAACATCGCGAACAATTCGAACTGGATGAATCACAGTATCCGAGCCGTCAGGCCGATCTTGATCTTGAGCTTTAAGATTTAACCACATAGCGCATATCGGCTTCGTTGCGACCTTGTTTTGATATTCTGGTTGGGTTTTGTCTCGTGCTTTTGTGGTTATATTGAACTTGTTCTCCTATACTGTTTTCTACTTCTCCTTCTTCTACTGCCTGTTAAGATCCTGTTGTGTCACGCAACCAGTTTGAAAGGGGATTTTCCTTTCAACTGCAGCATCAGCAGCAGCTGCTGCTGCCACAACCAAGTTGCATTCTTCGGCCTTCTAAATGAACATCACTGCCAATGGATTCCATATAACTTTATGCCAGCCATAAAAGTACACATGGGAGTGTGTACCTTATTGCCGTGCCTAACCGCGAATTGTGCATGTGCATATCAGGTATATGGCTAAGGTGGGCTAATTGCAGTTATTTAGTAATATCTGATTGGCTTACACATCAATTGCCGGCGACTGTGCAATTGCTGAAAGTGGCGAAGCTTCTCCAGCGAGAAGCGGCGATGCGAATAGAGCGCACCCAGAAAATCCTTCAGCGACTGACGTCGCAGTCGACGTCGCACCACAGTCATAATGACAATTAATGTTACTTAATTATATTATTACAGTTGATGTGTTCGTTGCAAAGTCAAAGCCAAACTAAAAGTCAACGAATTGCCAAGGGTCCGATTTACCCTCGGCCACTTTCATTTCAAGCTCGGCAATTCTTAATTGCTTTTCATACGCTTACAAAGGGTATACCGCTTTGAGTATGTAGTTTGTAGCCGATAGCTGATACAATCAGAAACTTAGAATTGAACAAAAAAAAAACATTACTATTATAAATTAATATCAATTTAAATAGTTATGTAGTTAGTTAACAAAGAACTCATATTATTTGAGTGCAATAAAAAAGAATAGAATAAAGTTTCAAATGTTTTTGTTTGCGGTTAAAATATATAATTTAATGTTGGATTTGGCTATATATATATAAAATACTCACAAACAAAATATATTTCATATAAATAAAGCATATTGTTATTGAAATATTTGGAAAATATAGTGTATTTCGGGCGTTAACTTGTCGTGCTGCAGATTTGAGCGCTTCATCATTTTCGATTGGTTTTTTTAATCAATCGTTTTGTATGCAATGCAGGTTCATAAGTTTAGTGGTTAGGTGCAAACGACAAAGTCATGAACAAAGAACGCTCGTCTATATTTAAATATGAAATCTTGAATTTCGATTGTTGCTGCTTCAAATTGAAAGTCGCCAAAATAATAAGAAGCAGCAAAACAAATGCATAAACAAAAATAGCACTGCAAATTCAAATTATGTTGTCGCGCTGTTTGTTTGATTGCTTTGTTTGTTTGCCAAAATATATATAATATTAATTTGTTTTGCCAAGGGCTTTTGGTTATTTGAGACACGTTCGACAGGTGCGCTTGCCACCCACAATGTTTTGGCCAAGAATTCGTGGGAATGGGACATCAATTTGCAGTTGGAGCACGCAACGCACGCGTACAACAACAACAACAATAACAACAACAACAACAGGACAACATGTGCTGGCTTGTCAAAATAAGAAGCACAACAACACATTTTCTGAGTGCTACCACGTTCGTGTCTTAAGTCTTTTGTTTGCTTATCAATAAATTTCGCTTGTCAACACAGAAAAACAAAAACAACAACAATCAATAAGCTTATTTCGCAGCATGCCCCATGAACAGCAGCCTCTGTTACATCATTTATGTATGCTTTAAATAAAAAAGGGGGCGTGGCACGCAGCTACCGGCTACCGTGTAAGCTTATCTTGTTTATGAGCAAAGTGTATTTTGTTTTTCAATCAAAATTGCGTATCGTACGATCGAATAGTCTGCAGGGCAAGTTCATTTGAAACGAATCTTTAGTTGTTGTTAGTTTGGAACGTTTTGATTAATGGCCATGTATTATGGAAAACAATTGCGTTTTCAGCATTGGAAACCTGATTGGATACAACATGACGTCATTAAAAGTCAAAGTTTGTAGCATTTGGTCTCAGAGGTGACTGACCAATATCAAGCCGAACAACCGATATGTTAGTTATAGATTAGCGAACGAAAATACTCTGTTTCTTAAATATAAAACAAGCATAGTCTAGAAATTAGTACAGAATGAGTCCCAACTAATTCTATATATAGTATTTGTGGCCCATTTACTTTTATGCTTGCCCCTATTTCCATTTTCTATTTGCCCAGCAACACAGCATCATATTTTCTCTATTGTCCAGGCGCAAACAGCTGTTCGGCTGGGTACTTAAAAATTTGATGTACTCATCGTTCATGAATCAGACATTCAGTATTTGACTTCTGATTTCTGTTTACTCTAGATGAATTGGCAAGTTTGCGCTGTGCGCAGGCAGCGAGGGGGGAATTACCCAAGGCACAAGACAGAAAGTTATACGCGAATTGCTTCTATTGAACCATTTGGAATGCTGACAGTTGTACATATAAAGCTGACGACAAAATTGATTATACGATGGGCAGGCGACGACTGAAAAGCAATTAAACGTGCACGTACAGAAAGGCGATTGCAACATTTCTGTTGCTGCTGCTGCTGCTGCTGTTGCTGCAACATGTTGCCAACAACTTTTGGCTGGGCTATAAATGCAAGCAAACATTTTTAATGAGTTTTGTTTGTTTATGTTTCGGTTTTTGCTTCTTATATTTTGTTGTTGCAGAAAATCCCTAATAAGAGAGGTAAAAGCTGACGCCTACCTTGTCTGATTGCTGTTGCAAGAGCCGCATTTAATTTATGCTGCCAACTGCCAAACGTTAAGCAAAATATGAGATGATGAGCACAGCTGAGATAGATTTAGATATGGGCGATTTGTATCTATGATAAATCGCATATATTTCGTGTAGGAAACTTTTTACTGCATTATTCATATGACTTTTTAACGTTATTTGTGGTTTTTTGAGAATGTCCATAGCTGTGAATTTTGTACTAAGTATTTGTTTTAGTTTTGTTTCAGGCTAAGAAACTCTTGAACGAGTTCTAATGGAATTATTTATAGCAGCATTTAGATAATGCGAGCCTGGCAAAGATCTTGTCGTGCGATTCATTCAATTTGGCAAAGTATGTGGACTACGTCAAATAATAAACTAGTTTTTGCACTTAAAGCCAGCTCATCGGCTTAAGCAAAACAATAGCACAGAAACAAGAAAAAACCTCCTGCCAAAATCGTAATCGACGCTTTTTATTCAGTTCGATGCGGTTTGGCAAAATATGTGGAATGCCAGTGTCTTGACTTCTATTTATTAACACCGATGAACCGCTTTTTTGCATAAATAATTTCAAAAAAAAAAACAATACAAAACGACGAAGCAAAAACCAAAATTAAATACAAAGAAGACAAATATATAAACGTTGGCAATCCTGTTTGACCATGAGCAGGCACTTTTATTGCAATTATTTATTTTTCGGTGTATTCCTCAGGCCACATTTGGGAGCAATTTATTCGAGCACAGTGAGAATCTTGTTTCAAGCTTGTTTCAATATTTAGACAGCGGCAGGGGGGGGGGGGGGGGGGATGATGGGCGGTTATATTGATATCTAATGAATAACTGTGAAACAATCGAATTGCTAATTCTTCTGACAATGATATTTGCCTGGTTTGGGCACTTTTGCAAATGCCAATAAAAAGTTTATGTCTTAAAATATTTGCTCAATCATATATGTGCATATATATATAGATATGTATATAGAAACGCTTCAAATAGATTGAAAATTTTGAAAAATTATATCGTTAGCGGCATTTTATTGACACCCGGCGGAATTTGTTTAAACTAGCTTTGTGCGAAGCTAGCTTTGCATACGAAATGATTTTGCATTACAACCGTGATTTATGATACGAACATAAACAAATCAGCTGTTGTTTAATTAATCATTCAATAAGTCTAGTCTACTCACATAATATGGCGAGCCTTTTACATATGTTAGTTTCTGCTAATTTTGGTTTTTCTTTTGTTTTGTTTTGTTTTTTTTATTTCGCGCGTGGCTGTAATTGGATTTAAGATCGGTCCGTTTCGAATTGAGACTTTCAACTTTCACAGGCGACAGAGTTCTATTGATTTAGCAGCGTGTGTGATTTTTTGTACCTTTTACGAAGTGCCAGAGTTCGACCCGTTTAATTAGAGACCCATAACGAGCAAATAATATTTTTGAAATGCATGACTAATCAATCTCAGTATCGCGTACGATTGCAATTATGTAATAACTGGTCAGATTATACTAACTATTTACTCGAAATTTTAATAGCACCAGCAGATCACAGACACTTTAAGCGACTTTTATTTACGGAGGTGAAAACTGAATATTTGTTGTCATCGTTAACACTCTTACAGCAAAGGAACTCGTGTACTTTACATTTTCGTCTAAATTTGCAGTTGTTTTTTTTTTTTAATATACAATTTTGTTTTTATTAACGATTCAATTCAGCACTTGTAGCTTTTTAATCGAGGCTATATATTGTGCATAAAGCATTAAAAAAGATTAAGATTAAGAGTTGACGCTTTTAAAATGCGATTATTCATAATATAAATCTCTTTTAGACATCTTTTATTTATGGGCAGACATTTAGCAAAATTTCTAAACATAATATACATATTTTTTTTTTACTTTTATAAAGAATTTATTTACTCTCACTATCTTTTCGGCATATCATGCACTTGAATTCACATATCCAAAATAGTTTTTAAATGAATTTTACATATTTTCAGGAAGTAAATCTTCGACAAAAAACAAATAATTGCGCTTAATTGTTTTATTTGATCACAAATTATTATTTATTTTGCTATTGCGAACATGATTTATGTTTTTTTTTTTTGGAAGTCTTGCGATAGAACTGCAAACACATGTGGCTGAAAATGTGATACTGTGATTTTTTGACTACTTTTGCTTGAGTTTCCCCCCAAAACTTCTCTTGCGGTGTTCATTTAATTTGCTGTGCAAATAAAAGACGCGAACAAAATATGTGCGAAAATCGTGTTGTTCTTGACTTTTGAAAGAATTTTTCGTCGTATTTTCTACATGTTTATATGGCCAGGTATGCTGATGAAGGTGACAGCGACAGCAACTACGACAAAACTGTATCTAAAGGTCACAGCACTGAGCACTAAACATGTGCAATTGATGCCGTTACTTTGCGACCACCTCGAATGCAATTGGCAACAATTGGCAACAATCGCGCGCGTTTTTAAACGCGCACAGAAACACACAAACACAAAGACAAACACAAACTTGTATTGCTTTTATGGCCAGCATATGGTCAAGTTCAGGGTTTACACCTGGCACCTGGCACCTGGCAGCGATCGCGTGCAAGTGCGGGTCGCGTTTTGGTCGCGTTTCTCAGCAAACGGATTTATTTAAATTATCGATAGACTGTTCGCGAAGACTTTAAGCCAAACTGTGTCAGTGTCAAAGAGTTGGTTAATAATAATCAATAATCAACAAAAGCAACAAAACATAAAGTGCTATGCTAAACAGCCGCGATATTTGTTCCGTATGGTATTTTGTGCGTGTGTGTGTGTGTTTCTTTTTTTTATCTCAAAATTTTCATAATTAATGCAGATCGACGAATCGACGACAAAAGCACAAATACACAAAAGATGCGTTTATGGCCGGTTTGAATCCGTGTACCACACTTGATTAATGATTGACGCATTTTAATTTTGGATACTTCGAGAAGCTCTAAGCCAGACACTAGTGCACTTTATCTCTTAACACTTGATTTTTTTAATTTGTCTATAAATTTTGTTTTTTTTTTTTGATTATTTTAAACTTACGTGTGGGCGAGCGTGCATTATGCTTGCCGGAATGGCGCTCGTTGAAGAATGTGCCCAGTATGCTCATGGGCTTCATGGAGCGATTCGCCTTGAGGCTCTTGCGACGCTGGGCGCGCTGCTGCGCCGCCAGCGCCGCTGCAGCTGTGACAGCGGCAGGATCTGTGTCTGGCAAGGATACGACGGGGGCAACTGTGCCTGCGGCTGTGGCGGCTGCGAATACCATTTGATTCGGCTGATTCGCATTCACGCCGGCCTCCTCGTCGCTAACACAAACGGCACTGTAGCGACGGGTGAACATTTTGCCAAAGTCCTTCATAGTTCCATAGGCATATAAACTGAGATTGTTGTTGAAATACAAATTTGTATCTTTGTATCTTGCGGGTTAATCTTGTTGTTGAGCCACACTTTAAATACTCTTGGCTTTTGGCACTTAAAAACTTGTTGCTCCTTGAATCAATTACCACTTGCTTGCTTAATATATACTATATATAAATAACATTTATCGACTTATTTTTCTTGAATTTGTTTAAGTATCTTTCTAAGTGTCCAGCTGGGATTGGCCTAAGCGCGTGTGCGTCCGTTCGCTGGCGTTGCTCGCTTATGAATGGAAACCCGGACGTGCGACAGCCGCAATAGGTAAAGTTACGGCTTTAAGTTTTTTCTGTTTTTTTTTAATTTTTTATTTTGCAGTACGAGTTTTAGTACGAGCGTTTACCTGTCCGCCAACTACGAATCTTATGCATGCTGCTCTCTCTCTCTCTCTCTCTCTCTCTCTCTCTCACGGGTAGGGTTCGACTGTGCGCGCGCGCTCTCTCTTTCTCTCTCTCTCTAGCACGCTTGCTCTCTGCCGATCGTTCGCTCGCTCGCTCACTGACTGGCCGGCCTTACGTTACGTTACATTGCGTTACGTTACGTTAACGATCACGTTTAGCACGCGCTCAGCTGTTGCTTTGTTTTGAGCCGGTGTTCGCTGCCGCTGCCGCCGCCGCTGCCGCTGCTGCTGCTTCGTCTGGTACTTCTTTGGCTGTTTCGCTCTGATCTAAGCCCCAAAATTGTAAACCAGTTTCGCATACGTGTTGCGCCGTGTTGTTTCGCATTTTGGGGAAATACCATACGCTGATGCGTTCAACTCGCAAATGCTTCTATCGCACATTACTCATACGACGCGTGGTTACTTACTTACAGCATGGAAAACTTTGGACATTTGTATACATATGCGACAGATATATTGAGTGTATGAGCCAGCTGTGAGCAGCATCTAATCAGGTAATTTGAGGTTTATGGCCAGCTTCTGCAATCAACGTAGATCTCCAGACGTCTGGTAAAGTGCTGTGCTTTTGTATTTGTTGTCATTCGTTTATGCTTTGTTGTTGTTTCTTCTTCTTGAGGCATTCAATTAAAACCCAATCACCTTCAATTTTGCATGCCAACGCCAACATTTTGTTGCTTTTTTTGGTCATTTTGGTTTTTTGTCAAGAGTTTAACATTTTTTCTTAGTTTTTTTTTTTATTATTTACTTCTACTTTTTGGTTTGTTTCGTAGATAGAAATTTCTCGAATTAACAGCTGGCAACGGCTGTTTTCAGCAACAACACGCGAATACTTATTTAAAGCCCAAGTTGCGAATTTAGTTTCAATCAATTTTGTTTTTTGCGTAAACGCCCCTTTGAACAGTTACTCTTAGCAAATATTTAAGTGGCATATTTGCAATACTATTTCTATGGAAGGGGGCGCGGCCAACTGCAGCTAAGCATTGATTGAGGGTTTACCGATCTGTCTTATGTAGCTAACAGAAGGCCTGCATCGATCAGATCAAGCGACTTGCGATCAAGTTCTTGCATAATATCAGCTAATATAGCTATGCGATTCTATTTAACACTATTAGGGCAAATATCTGCGAATAAAGTTCATCTCGCAGTACAGGAATTGATATCGTCCAGACATATAATAGATACGTTTTCGGGCTTCGAGCTTAAAAGCTATTGAAGAGCTTGTTAAATAGATTTAAATTAAGAAGAAATGTTTATCATGTTATACAGAAAGAACTTCTATAGAACATCTCATAAGATGCTTCAGTAATATCTACGTTTTCCACAAGTTAATTTATTTGTTGCATACTTTTCGAGGATGCTTTAGTTGGAAAATTCTAATACAGTAATATAAATTTTACTGGCGGAAGTGAGAAAAGGAAAATACACACCAAAGAGTGCATTTATTTTTAAAATTGTAATTCGTTGTTTTTTCCACCTGTACAAATAAGGTAAACATTTAACAGTTCTTCAATTAAGGATCACGACCCTAACGCCAGTTATGAATTTCAACAGATTTCAGTGTCATATATAATATAGCATGCTATAAATGTAAAATGTCAAGTAATGCAATTAATGCAAATTTGTACATTTTTCATTGCATGCAAAATAATGTCATTGAACTTGACGTTGAAATGTCCAATATATAATTATTTTTGCGATATACGAGACATTTTATTTTTGTTGCTTTTCGCAAAGTCAGAATATTAAAAAATGTATATGCCGCTGGGATGCTTTATCAATTTCCGCATTGACAATTCATTTGCCGTTAATCTTTGACTCATACACAACAAAAGCGGTCCACGGCAATAATACCAAAAAACTGCCAAACATTGTTAAGCGGTCCCAAAGAGATGTCAACTCATTCCCATTGTACGATTGGCCAGATGACCTTGCCAAAGGCTACTGAACTCACATGTTGACACAAGAGAACATAAAAAATTATACAACACTTTCAATAAATAAAATAAACAATGAAAATGTTTGAAACGGTTCGTGGGTGTTAAGCATTGCGCACAATCTGACCAGACCAACAAATACCCTGCACTTTATGATTTGATACAGGTGTGAAAAGGTGTTATTTAAAAGTATTTGTGTATGTATCTATGTTTGATTGACTACTTCCTGCTTCGCCGCTAAAACGAACGTATTAATCACTATTGACTTCTATGCGATTCTCATAAATTCAAGTGATCCGTACAAGTGCTTATTTTATTCTTATTAACTTGGACCCTGATTATATTCTCATTTACTCCGATTCTCATTCTCTCTCTCTCTCTCGATCTCTCTCTCTCTCTCTCTCTCTCCCTCTCTCTCTCTGTCTATAGCTCTATCTCTATCTCTATCTCTATCCCTTTCTCTATCTCTATCTCTATCTCTATCTCTATCTCTATCTCTATCTCTATCTCTATCTCTATCTCTATCTCTATCTCTATCTCTATCTCTATCTCTATCTCTATCTCTATCTCTATCTCTATCTCTATCTCTATCTCTATCTCTATCTCTATCTCTATCTCTATCTCTATCTCTATCTCTATCTCTATCTCTATCTCTATCTCTATCTCTATCTCTATTTCTATCTTTATCTCTATCTCTATCTCTATCTCTATCTCTATCTCTATCTCTATCTCTATTTCTATCTTTATCTCTATCTCTATCTCTATCTCTATCTCTTTCTCTATCTCTCTCTCTCTCTCGATCTAATAAATGGGAATCTGTGTTTATCCTTCGAATAGATGACAGTTACTGTTTAGGTTTTTTTTTTATAGCATTTGTCCGGGACTGTTTAGATTTTTATTTGTTTTTTTTTTCGACTTCTTAGTTAATTATTATTTATTTCATTTAATATTTTGCTTGATTTTCTGAATTATGAGTTATTTATCGGGCATTTTCAAGACTTTTCAATGGGTTCACTCGGAAGCGTCAGGGCAATGCAAAACGTAAGGTTTTCATTAAAATAATTGGCGTTATTTCCTAGAATTGTTTACTGTTTAACAAATTGGCTTTGCAATTTGCCCAGCAGAGATCTAACCTTATACGCAGTCATTAGTGTAATCCAAACAACAAATGCAATGTGTTATTGATATGAACTGGCACTAATTGGCCATTCGGATTGGATCAGAGATCTGGGCACCCAGTTCGTAGATAGGCTGTTCGTCGTTTCCATTTTGTAATTAGCGCACTTTGTTGGCTAATTCGCACTTGTTAATCATAGGTGGCATAGATGGTTGGCTTTTCACTTTGATTAATTAATAATTACACTCGCCACCAGCTAAACGGCATAGGTATGCGGCTGCAATTGCATCACCGGATGGGTTCAGTTGGGGTTCAGCGGTTATTATCGTTAGCACATTATCATTGGAACATTTACCAGCTCTGACGTCATTCCAACCCAGAAACAGCAATTGATTTAGCTGTACCTTCTGTTACGCCCAAATTGCGTTCACGTTCAACATTCGCGCATGGCTCATGTTTTATTAATTGGCAAGAGACTTTGTCATTAAATAAATAGTTGCACGTTTAGTTCTGCGGCGCAACCCGAAAACCAAAGTAAAGTTCAATTTAATTTGGGCACATAAATAGACAAAAGTTCAACTGTTCATTTGAAAGTGTTAAGCAGACAAGTGCAATTTAAATTGGGACACACAATCAAAGACAATATTCCAAATGAACTGAAAGCCAGACCGAAGCCCTTCTCAAGGTATTAAAAATATCAAAAATTCAATTATATTTGTGGTTAAACCTACTTAAGACATTCTAAGAACATTAGTTTGGAATCTGTGTCTGTGTTTGGGAAATACTTATTTGAAGGCTTTTATGGTTAATTTTATATATAATTTGCAAAACTGGAATATGATTTGTGTACGGCTCCAATTTTGTTAAGTCTGTATTTTTCGAAATTAATATTTATTTCATATTAAATTTTAAAAACAATTTAATACAACTTTTACGCAATCCTGTCTCATTTATCATAAGAGTCGAATGCGATTTGTAATGAAGAAGCAACGCTCACATTAAGATAACTTGTTTCGAAGCCGATTCCGATTGTCTGCTTGATTTATGATTATAGCCTGACAGACAGCCGGGCATGCCGATGATGATATGATATAGGGAAGTTGATGAAATTGTTATCATATTGGAGAGCAAATTTGTGGGCAGTTTGCTCCCGAAATGTTCAGTCGTTCAGTTAAACATTGATATACAGATATAATACAAGTAAATTGTAACCTTTGCATTGGGCGCACGCGTTGCTAATACCTCCGAGAACAACATCTCTCTCTCGCTCTCTCTCTATCTCTCTCTCTCACTCGACTGTGTGTTGCAATTATTGACCATTTTGTGTCGATGCTTGATTTCCTCAAGTACAGTCTAGCAATTAAATAAATCTGACGCAGTTGTTGCCAAGCGGTTCTTTTTATTAAACTAACTCTTAGTTAATCGATATACAAATGCAATTGCTGACCCGTTCCGGTTTTGGGCCAGAAAGTCCCCAGACAGCGTAGATTTCTATAGCTTACGCATAGTTATAGGTTTATGTTTATATATATATATATATCAGTTACAGGGGCATCAACTTCTATCTTCAACTATGTAATATGGGCAATTAGTCTGACTGATTTTACGTGCTCTTATAACCTTCGCTTTAATGTCGAACGCATGTCCCTGCAATTGTGTTTTAATTGATTTAACTCAACAGCCAAGTTTACAGACGCATATATCATAATTTCTGCTTCGTCATGCCGGTGCGAAAGAACCTGAACCCAGATATAAGCATAAAGTAAACA